TACCTAATAATAAATTATTATAAAATAGAAAAAACTTATCGCAGCGGTTATAATGTACATAATTTTTTTTAATTCCTGGAATTATTTGAATCTATACAGTCAAATATACAAAAATAATATGAATTGCTATGAATATATTTTTTTAACATCAAAACATATGTACTTATATGTAAAATACAATTTTGTATTCAGATTCTTTGTACTATGAATCTTTTACATATCTTACTCCCGTAGTTGAGCATAAATCCATTGAAAACATGGGTTTACGTAGAAATCCGCGCTCTTGTCATGACGCTCGTAGCGGATGTGGAGAACCAAAATCGAAAACAATAAGACTAATATAGCCGTAAACTTTCCCTTAAAATGTAATGTATTACGTAAGGCTTACATAATATTTTTTTCCCCGGTATTTTCCAATTGTTAAGAAAACTGGTTGAATTATCGAAAACTGACCTCTTTAGTGCACCAACAATATCCAAAATTGAACAAATGTCCAGCCCATACGTTTCAATCTGAATGGCACAACAAAAACCGAATTAAAAATAATAAAGTCATAATAAGTTCCGTAATCATTACCGTTCCTTTTACATTATAGATTCCGAGTATAGCGAAGGAGCTATTGGTTTTACAATGCTGTTTATTTCTTTTTTTTCCCTTTATTCTTTGTTCTAGACTGTGGACACGTTTTTTCCTGGTAAACTTACTCCGATTTGTACATGTAGCAAATTTTCTAAAAGCTCAAGTTGTTCTTTATTGTACTCGAGACGAGTTACTTTTTTGATTTTCGACGCCTTTTTTTTAAACTAAAGCACTTGAGTGAGAAAAAACGTGAGAAAAGGGAAGAGTCGGAAAAGACAACAAACGATCGAAATGAGGAACTGTTACAAAAAATAATGTTGGGTACCAGGAGTGCATGAGTACAACGTCGTTGGCACCGTTCGGTGTACTACATACCGTATGCGAGCCACTTTTAAGCTTTAAAGAAATGTTAACTTTTGGGAGTTGTTCACTGTAATTCAGTTATAAATACTCGTAGAGACCTAAAACTTGGTAACAATACTTATATTGGACTCACCTAGACGTGATAAAATTTCCAAATTCCTCGGACGACTTTTTTTTTTTTTTTATTTATTGTTTTGAAATCAAACTTAAAAGATAATCGCAAAAAAAAAAATACGGCACTTCAAATTATGTATTACCGAACTACGCTCAGAATCGTCTTTCGTCAAGCAATAGTTGATCGTTGTTTACTGATACAAATGAAATAACCTTATGTATCGTACTTTCCCAATTTCTCACCTACAACAGTGGCCGTTCCCATCCCCAGTAACAGCTCTTTTTTTTTTTTATAAGAAATCTTACACCGAAGGTAAGTTAAAACTAAAGACCGGATTTAATTGTTATTGTGACTTTTTTTGCAATGAAGATAAATCAGATCCGATTAAATGTATAGCCGATGTATACTAAAAATATTCTGCCTGTTTAATTTTATAGTAAAATTGTTTTCAATTTTGGGCGTTTTTGTAATTTTCCCACATTTTTAAATCATAGGCGTTTATTGATCGTCTGGAATTTTCCCAACCAGCGATAAGTGTCTACATATATATATGTGGTGGTAGTTAAATTCAACGTAGTAGTACAGCGATTCGTGTGCGTGTTTACCTGTTGGTACCTTAGTACCTATTTCTTTAATCAGTTTGACCGCACAGCGAACGTATTCGACGATAAAATTAAATCAACTTTTAAAAGTAAAATTTCAAATTAGATTGCTCCTTACAATGAAAATAAAGAATTATTTTCATCAAATGGAAAGGTCATATATTGTCTCGCATGTAACAAATCTGTGTCTACTGAAACAAAATATCTATTAGATCATCATTCCAAAACAAGTAAGTTTTATATTTTATGCTCATACTACACGCAATATATTACACATTATTTAAAAAATACATGTATATTTTTTTTAGTTCAATACATAAATGAATTACAAAAGAATAAAGAAAAAAATACGGCATTTAATTACTTCTCAAAATTCAAATAGTAAAATTCATTTTTTGAAGATTTATGTAATGCATTTGTTATTGCAAAATATTCCTTTGCATAAGCGGAGCAAACATGTGTTAAAATAATTTTTGGAAAAACATACTGGCAAATTAATTCCTGACGAAAGCACTTTAAGAAAAAATTACACACCAAATATTTATAAAAGAGTTATAGACCAAATAATTAGTGAAATTAGAAATAATTACGTTTACATAATTGTTGACCGATCCAAGAGGAATGCATAAATAATTTTTTTTAATTTTTCATATAATAAAATACACTACATTCGTTTAGGTTTGGCTATTGCAAATTTATTAATTTATAAATTATATGGGACGCCTAGTAAATCATAAATTGCATTTAAAAAACTAGAATCTACCAATTATGAAACTATTTGTCAGTTTATTAATTCCTCATTAAAAATATTTCCTGGTATTAAACAAAAAATATTACTCTTTATTAGCGATGCTGGTACTTATATGATCAAAACAGCAAAAATATTAGAAATATTTTTCCTGAAATTAATTCATTCTATATGTATACCAGTTAATAGAGTTCTAGAAAAAAAATTCGAGCATTGTATCCCAACATTCATAAATTGATTAACAATGATAATATATTAAGTACCTATATAAAATTTAAATACATATGTAACTTATTTCGTTTATTTCAGGAATAAAAGCTTTCCTAAAAGCACCATCGAGAATAAAAAAATATAGAAAAGAAATGCCGGCTACACCTTTACCACCCGAACCTATTATTACAAGATAGGAAACATGGTTAAATGCTGCACTTTTCTATACAAATAATTTTGAAGAGTTTAAAAACGTGATTGAAAGTTTAACAGATGATGCTACAAGTGTCGAAAAGCTGAAACAACTTGTACAAAATAATGCAGTCAAATATGGTTTAGCATTCATAAAATTACCCTTATCCGAGTTATCCATGAATCTTAAAAACTGGGAAGAATATAATAGTGAACTATTGAAAATCATGGATATTTTTAGGAGAATTGAATATATTTTAACAAATATTCCTAGTCCAAATGGGAACTTTAAGATCTTACTATGAAGTCATGTCAGGTAAAGCAAATGTTAATTTAGACATAATGCCCACTTTATTAAATTGTTTTAAATATGCATCAATAACTAGTGTAGATGTAGAACGTAGGCTTTCTTTATATAAACCTTTTTTAAGTAATAGAAGATTTAATTTTAATTTTAATAATTTAAAAATGTATCTAATTATCAATTTTAATTAAAAAAAGTAACATTTATCTATTTTTTTTTTTTTTTTTTATGTGACTTTTGTATTTTGATAGTGCAATTTATTATGCAATTTTTGGTACAATTGTATAATTTTAATATGCAATTTTCGTGTATTTTAAGTGTCATTAAATCAGGTATTTAGTTATTATTGAAGAAAAATGTTTTCAATCAGTTACCAAGTAGGTAATGTGTTATCATTACAACAGTGGTTTTACCTAATCATGAATAAGCATCTTTTACACTGGTTATTACTAATTAAAACTCCCGGAGTAACGAACTGCCCCCCCTCCTACGATCCAAATATAAATGTGGAATACCTTATCAACGGGCTGATGGAAATCCGAAATGTCAACACCAAAAATTATTTTAACTAATACTCCATCTATTTAAGGAGTTTTCAATAGGGTGCCAATTGAAAATCAAGTAGGTTAATTGTTTTACCAACAAAAGTAAGATTAACAGAAAAAATTATAAATTCACACTTAAAAACTATTAGTATATTAAATTTTCAAAAAAGTCAACTTTTTGTCTTGACTACTAAGTACAACGTAAAACTAATTTCATGATTGATATAATTTCAAACATTTTTTTTTGAAATCTAGAAGTCTAACAGTGATTCTGTGAAAATATCAGGTCTCTATAATTTATTTAATAACAAAAATAATGAATATTATATTTTTTTAATAATAAGTTTTGACTATTCTTTTCGTATTTTACTCAATTATAAAGAAAACTATGTAATATCCAAAAATGCACAGCTGAATCTGATTTGGAGAGACTACAAAACAAAAAATCCAAATATATTGGGAAACCAAATCTTGAAATCTGAAATTGAGATTTATATCACACAACTAATTATTCATACATTGAAATAATAATATAGAATAAAAATGTCAAAAATCATTTGTTTTTTTTTCCAAAATACATTTTCGGTTCTTTTATATATATATATAAGTATAAAAATCAGAATATTAGAGACGTTTATACTAACAATAATATAATGATTTAATAAAGCAGATATTTTTTTTATCTGTAAAATAGTATAATATCAAAGTACAATAAATTTATAATATACTAATAATAAATAAATAGATTTAATTTTTTTTTTTTTATGTGTACAATACTTTTCTAAAAACATTTTGAACACATTGTAATAATAGTATATTATATTCATATTTATATATGTATGTATACATATATATTACATTTTAACATGTACTAAATCTTAAAGTAACATTTATACACTTAACATTAAAGAAAAAAGAATTTATTTATATATACATAAATATGTATGTATATATATACTTTTAGATTTTTTTTGATTTTATAAACTTAAGGTCATAAAAATTCTAAATTTTTATTCATAACAGATAAATGCAATAATACAATTTTTCCTTCCTTATAGACGAATAATTGAATAGCTGTTAAGTTAGTGAGATCTAAGAGAATTTAATAAAACTAAGACAAGTTAGTGAACAATATTTTAACAGTGTTGTCTTAATACAGTTGAAAGAAATTTATTATAAGTGCCACAAAAAAAAAAAATAATAATAATAATAATAAAAAGTAGTTGTTACTATTATGATAGTAAAAGCTAGTATATGAAATTAATATTTATTGAAAGGTGTATTATAAATCTAATCACTGTTAAAATATGGTACACATTAAACATTATTGACTGTTACAATATGCATCAATGTATAGAAATAAACAATTGTATTGAGTGTACAATAATCAGACTGTAGATAGATTAAGTAAGTGTCTAAAGTTAATATTATACAGGTATATAGATGCAAAGTAAAAAAACAATTGAAGAAAGATTAGAGATAAAAAAAACCACTGGTAATTTATCAAGGTACATTTGAAAATTGACCCAAGCTGGTACAATAATCAAAAATAAACTTATAAAATACAATCTTCTAGTACACTGGTAAAAATAAAATAGACATTTACCACATAAATTACATTATTAAAAATCACATGTTCATAAATAGTACAATAAATTGAATAATGTGTATTTACTATTAACAAACAACCAATTTTCATTATGATATATTTTCAATTTTAGAATTTACATTGTTACTCAGATGTATTTTGCATGGTTCGAAAATTATTAGTTTTAATAATATATTATTATTTGGGACGGAATCAGAAAAAACTTATTATTTTTTATAATATGTCATGTATAATCTATTTGACCACTTTAAACTTAATTTAACTTACACTATTAAATTGTTATATATTAGTAGTACAAAAGTAAGAAACCAAAAATTATTTTTTCACCATATAATTTATGAATAACAATTAAAAATGTAATGGCCATATTATTATAACAGCATTATGTATACAAATTTGTAGGTCTTAGTTAAATTAAAAATTCTTATTTACAATTTTCCTCTTTTAAATAAATTAATAAAATAAAAAAATCACAATCAAAATGAAGTCATCAAGCCATTATGGTAAAGTATATTACAGAAATTGGATAATTTTATAAAGAAACAAATATGAATATCCAAAGGGATTTGATAAGGAAATTATTTGATTTATTCACTATTGGATTATAGCATCTATATAATAAACAATGGATTAGAATAAGTAACAAATAAGTATTATACTGAACAAAATAAAATTGTTTTTCCACTATGTTCTAATGAAAATATTTCATCATAGAGAAAAAAATCAATGATTGCAAATTTATAATTGTAAGCTAAGAATTAAAAATATGAAGTTAAAATAAAAATAAAATAATAATAATTCAATTTATGGTACACAAATTCGCAATACATAGAACATTATTATAAAATATAACTAGATATTTCCAATTAAAAAATTTGAAAATTATATAGAGAAGAAGACTGAATGACTTTAATGTTATAGTGAAATAAAACTATTTTGATCATCTCAATAATATAACTACATTATTAATTTAACAACCTAACAAATATTAAGGCATATAAGTTCTTAATGGTCAATTTTACACTTAGGTTTGTCAAAAATGGCAAGTAATATTAAAACATTATGTACATAATATTTATATTATTTTTAAAATAGTCAAAATATATATATATATGTATATATATATATATATATATATATATGTGGCTTGGTGCCAGAAGACCCAATGTCAAAATAAATAATAATAATAATTTGAAAATTGGATTTGAAAAAATATATTTATTTCCAAAAATTCCAAAAATCTAACATAATTGTTATACGTTTTTTTTATATTAGCCTTTACACCAAGCTACATATATACATATATATATGTACTATATATACTACATAATCTGTACACATATTAAAACATTTTATCACAGGATAGAGTAGCTATCAGTCTAATGTCAGCATATGGCAGATTCTCCTTCTAAAGTTCCAGCAACTTTATTTAACTTATGACTGAGATTCAATTTTTGACAACAGGGATCCAACTCTAATGAATTCAAAATCTAAAACCAAGAGTTATTATTTTTTTTTTTTTTTTTAATTAATTAATATATTAGAATGAAATATATATTATATTATATTGGTACTTATATTAAGTTAATTTTAGTCAAATTTAGTTAGGGAAATAGTTTAATGTAAAATTTCAGAATTCACAGTTTGGTGTATTCGTGTTTAGGAAGTCAACAGAAAACTTTACAATTGAGTAAACTATAACACAAATCTATACATTTAAGAGGATACAACCTATCTAGATTATAAACAACTATGTATCTAAACTATAATGTATCTTAAGAAAATGAGGTATGTTGCATTGCCTCTAGCATTGTTTTGCTTTCTTGTAAAATTGAGAAAAATAAGATAATGCTTTAAATGATAATATATGTTGCTTAACATTTATAATATAATATAATTTATAAAAAAAAAAAAAAAACCCATACAAAGAAATTCAATAGTTAAGCGAAAATTAGTATATTATTATTATTATATTTACTTTTGAAAAGTACAGAAAAGAAAAAAATTATTGAAACCCCCTTTTTACTATCCTATTTATCAAAAATTAAATAAATTATTAAAATATTTAATTTATATTTCCTTACCGCATCATTATATTTAGAAGCATATATGTATAGTTCTTTTAAAGCAGAAACTATATGAAATTGCCCCAAGTGAGAAACAGACATCTGTTGCAAATATGTGCTTAATTCTTGATCAGTGATCTTAGGTAGTTTTTGAATGTTACTATAAAATCTAAACATAATTATGTTGAATTTAATAGTTTAAAAATGCAATATCAAATAAAAAAAAAGATACAATTAAAACTATCCTAACCTTAAAACTGTTTCTCTATATTGTGGTATGTCTTTTGCAAAGAGAAGTTTATTAGATGGTGAATCTTTACCAAGACGATGATCAGAAGTTGAACAAGAATCCATGAATGTTTGAGCAATAACTGATAAACATGAGTCAACTGTAGGAGTTTTATCAATATCAAAAATGAAATCTGGGTTTTTGATAAAATTTACCCAAAACCTCAATGGAAGGCTGAAAATTAAACACTTGATCAATTTATAAAAATACAAAACAATTAACTTAAATAACCAAATTTTTTGAACAATACAAATAGAAATAATTAATTTCATTGAAATTTAATTGTATAAACCAATAATAATAAGAATATTAATGTATGTGTTATACATGTATAAATTTACCTATTAGACTTCCAAGAATGTACTACTTCTGGGTCAATTATATTGTATTTTTTTGCAGCATCATCAAATAAATCAAACAACCATTTTACAGAAGTTGGAAGAGTTTCATTAGCAGCTAAAATTGTGGAAAAAAAATCGTCCACAAATTTCTGTATTGTACCTTTTGTTGATAGTAATCTAGTTAAATATATTTCTGGAATGGCTTTGTGTATCCTCTCAGACATTTTATTGGTATGGTACTGTTGCTGTGTATCAGTAGATCTAATCAAATGGTACACAGTACTATTTGAACTTGAACTTGGATCTATACTTCCATTACTATTAGATATAATAGCACCAGAATAATAGGTACCTAAATTAAACAAATTGTTTAACCATTATAATATTTTAAACATTTATTATCATTGGGCTAATTGAAATAATTACAATTATGGCACGATTGCAAACAGGTTTTGTTGTATGTGTCATGTTGACGTGAAATTAAGGTAACTATAGCAGTATCTTTTACACCATAATGAGCAAGTGTATTTAATTTTTTCCATCCACATACATTTTTTGTGGTAACATCATAATCTTGGAGTGTAAGATGTCCTCCTCGTCCATGTCTCCATTCTTCATAAATAACACAATATTATAATCAATACAACCAACTTATCATATACAATTTTTTAATATTTTTACCTAAATCAACGTCATAAACAGATGGTCTCAAAGAAAATGCTGTATTTTTATACATAGCATCCAAAATTTTAGATTTAACTTGGCTTATAGTATCACAGTCCAATACCTTGCACAGCATTTTATCAACTGAATTGTCTTGAACAACATATAAATTCTGAAAAATAAAATGTATATACATACATGTACATTAAATACATAACATATAATATAGCTTATCATACAACAATGCGGTGATCAATTTTTTCCCGAAGCAAACGATCTTCTGATAAACTGTATCTTGCATCGTATGTCAAAGCATCTACAGGACCTTTTTCTACTTGATGTTTAATGGCTTTATAAAGCAAAAACAAAGAAGAACCTGCATAATCTTTAAGATATTTATACATATTCAGTGCCATCCAATTGGTTAACATTTTTTCAACGACTGATTCTGTTCTCCGAAGCATTAAATGTGGATGCTTGGACATGACTGATTTATCAATTAGTCTAAGTAACAAACTTCTCAAAACATCTGTTGCATATTCCATTTTGTTCATTAGAACCACCATTAATAATGAAGCTACATTGACCCTACGTTTTAAATATAATTTTTAATACATAATAATTAATATAAATAAATTTTTTTAACTCACTTGTCACGTATGCTAAATGTTTTTTGTGATTCTAGAGTATCAATAAAAGAAAGCACAAAATGTTTATTATTTATAAGTTGTTCAAATTGCAACATAGCTGCATCATAATTTGTGGTAGAACCAGCAATAACAACCTATTTGGATATATTATAATATAATGTTTAATATTTTATCATAAGATGAATAAACAGCTTTATAAATAACAATCCTATATTTACCTTAGATTCATTTAAAATAGGGTGATCACGAACACCAGGAAAAAATACTTTCAGAATATATTCATGATGATCTAATGTTGGAATACCAGAAGATTCTAAGTCAGCAGTAAGATCAGTCATATCAGTCTGTAGTTCTGCAAAAGCTGAAATAAGATAAAATATAATTTTACTAACTTGTAAGCAGAAAAAATATTTTCATCATATTAAGTTAATTATATTAATAATTTAAAAGTGAGGCTATAAAGAGTGCCACATATTTTGTACAAAAACATGCTGTTTTTTTGTTGGAAAGAGAAAGACTTCCTATAAATCACATTAAACTCCAATATTTTTATCTTAAATACAACAATTAAGTCTCTAAAAAAATAAATAATCAACTTTTAATTTTTTTTCCTATCATTATAGAAATAAAATTTTAAAAAAAATAGAGTTCAATGTGGTCTGTAGAATTTTTTTGCTTATCTAAAATAATTAAAATAGTAATATAATATTATTTTGAGTTATCCCTATTCCTTAATTATATTAAATCATTTTCATTCATAAAAACAGAAACTCTTTTTCCCTTGAATGGGTATCCAGCAATGAGTTAATCAGTGCTGTTATAAGGTACTTTAAATTAATATCCAGATACAGATACAGATACTCTACTCAAAAAAATATCTTGATACACAATTTCAACTCAAAAAGCGACTCTACACTCCATCACTTCAACATCTATGAAAAAAGACCGTAACATGCAACAGAGTAAGTGTAGAAGTAAGCTGAAAGCTATTAACCTATCTCTCTCTTAAATACCTTATGTAAACTACTGTATAAAATCATTAGTTCTTTGATATGGTTCCTTGAAAACTTTAATCTTCTTTCCCTAATACAAAACAGCTTATTCTCTATAAAAAAAGAGATTCAAACCTAAAATATCCTCAAAGTGTACAACATGGCTTGAAGACCCAAAATACTCAACAAAATTATCCAAAAGAAATATGCTTGGCTTCATCACCAACTTCCTCAGTTATCGCACTTTTTAGATCAAAACTTCTAATTCCCTCTTTGTCATATTCTACCAAGATAATGGAATCCTTTAAGCCTCCACCATCTCTGTCACTCTCTTTATCATTACTATCAATTGTATCTCCAAACAAATATTATTTCCCTGCATATCTCTGTTATACCCTGACTTCGCCATTCTCTGTACCAAATCAGACTATATTCAACAACTTCTACAAAACTCTTCAAACAAACTCATGTTCTGGTTGGAATCTTTTGGCTTTCGCTTCTCGCCATCCAAAAACTTACCTCTTAATGTTCAGCATATAAAGGAAACCTCAAAACATCTCCATCAAAATTGTATTCATAATAAAAAACCAACCAATAATCAAAATCCTAGGGGTTATTTTAACAGATGTTTAATAATATATACAGTAAATATGATTCTGAAAATATAATATCCGTTAAAGCCCCATTGTGCCCACACTGGTTTTTCATAAACAACATCAATTTTAACCTGCGCACTCTACCCAAGAAATCAACAAACTCTTAACAGTTTAACAGTTTAATGCCTTATCTTTTTACTTTAGTATATAAGCATGGATGCCACAAGATAGTTACCTCTCCTGTGGTCTATTCGCTGTTTACACTTCCGACATGCCAAGTACAGCAAATATGATTAATGACTATAACTACATATGCCAATGGAACTGTAATTCTTTCTCCTGGTAACAATCCAGTACAAACCTCCAAAGCATTACAAAGCATTCAAAATCAACCCTGAGAAATCAGCTCATATAAAATTGAATTTTAAAAAGTCCTTCACTGTATTTCCAAGGATCTCTTCTTCCTACTTCCTCAGATATAAAATATCTAGGTACTATTCTGGACAAGAAGCTAATTTAGAGCCCTCATTTGAAAATCCATATAAAAAAAACTAAACAGTAGACTCTTAAGGGTCCAAACAAAAAATATTGTATACAAATCACTCCTAAGATCCATATAAGCTTGTGCTATTCAAATTTGGGGTTGTACCAAATTCTCACAAATCCATATAATATGGAGGTCCAATCAATAGCTCTTCATATTTTTTTTCATACTTTTGTTCATAGTACATATGCCCCATAATAATTTAAAAATCGAAACAGTAGGACTAGTATCCACACAAAACTCCAGATTCCATTCAAAATCAACAAACCCAAACCCTATAATTTCTGCTCTCTCAAATAAGTTTCCCTGAAAATCTAATGCGCCTACTAAAATGTCATAGTGCAGACATTTATTCAAATAAATTCACAATAAAATAAAACCACTAAATAAATTGGGTTCCATCACTAGATCACTCCCTCCTGATATCATTCTGTAATGAATACAAATTCTTTATATCTGTCATCATATTTTTCTATTGTACACATAATAGAATAGATTAATGGCATAGATTGTTAATTTGTCCAATAAATAAAAAAAAATTTATTTATAGTTCCTAGTAATTAAATGGTGGATTGCAACTTCATTTCTTATCACTAGTAAGCAATCAAGTCCACTGTATAAATGTGTGATAAAATACAAAATGTAAATATAATCTAATAGTGTGATAGTACCTTGTTTACACTCTGAACGAACATTACTTTCTAATGTGTCCATCTGAATTTGGATTCGCTTATACTCTCTTTCAGCTTGTGTTGATTTTCTTCGATATAAAAATAATATAATGAAAAATATTATGATTATGCAAATAGCCCCTGTTACAGCACCAGCAATTGCTTCAGGAGAAAATGAATATGCTGGTAACACGTCATATTGTAAGTATCCAACATTAAATCTTAATTTTTTACCAACCCTAACCTGGAATTCAAAATAATTATGTATTTAATATTTTTAACAGTAACTTAATTAATTTAGTTTTACCACAACTAAAGGTAATCCTTTTCTTGTAGGTGCTCCAATATCATCAGTTGATTTTGGTTGATATTCTGGTGGAATACAAACAAGTTGGGAATTCGCTAAAGATGTCACATTACAAATTTCAAGCCCAACAGTGACATAAACATCAGATTCATCACAAGCCAAATTCAAATTTTCACCCTAATAATAATAACAAACTTATTAAAAAAAAAGCATCATAAATATCAATGGGTTATTTATTTTATAAAGTTATTTCTGCACATGTACAAAATTAGACTACATGTAGTCTGTATGAATTTTATGTTTTAGTAATGAAATCATTGTTTATATCAGTGGTTCTCAAACTGAGGGGCCCAGCCCTCCTAGGGAGAAGTGACACAATTTCAGGGAAGGTGTGAAGATTTTTTAAAAAAAAAATACATGAAAATTGAAAAGGTTATTTTTGATTACACTGATCTACAATGAAATTTCATCAGAGATGGTTTAAAGTTTTAAACTGAGGCAAATAGATATAATATATAAGAATAGATATAGTGAATAGATTGTAAAAATCATAATTTATGCACTACTTATGTGAAGTAAATTTTAATAAATTATAAATTACTTATAAATTTTCACAAAAGAATTAAAATTATTTTTTTTTCTTCAGCTTAGCGGTCCATTCAAGAACATCGCTGCCATCAAAATCTCTTTCCACCTCTCTCTCTGATATGCTGTTTCTAACTGTTTCTGCATCTGGTCTATCATTTCTATATCTTTGGCAACTACGTCAATCCATCCTAGGGGTCTCATTTTATTTATTTTATTGATAAGTACATTTTTAATTAACTGATTTAAATCTTTTATGGGATAAAAATTTTAGGTGTACAAATTGTTAGCATTGAATACTTATTCTGCACAAATTTATAAGTATGCAAAATACAAATTATAAATGACATAGAATTATAATATTCTTACTAACCTCAATAACTAGTGTATCTCCTTTATAAGATTTAATAGTATTTGGAAATTCAAAATACTTAGGATCTTGTACATATTTAATCTGATATTGTAATAAATTCAAGTGTTTTTCTAAATCTTTTACTGTAGCAACATTGTCCATAATAAAACCAATTTTTAAAATTAAAGAAGATTCCTCATATTTTCCATTGAATGCATGTCTTCTCCGCTTGATAGAACTTTTAATATTTCTTAAAAATTGGCTATTGGCAGAAGGAGATGGACATTCCATTTGAGCTGAATTAAGTACAATACATTCCTATAAAAGTATAATTTTACAATTTTTTAAAAAATTATTATTATTTGAGATTGTTAGTAAAAAGTTTGAAACTTACAGTTTTGTTAATAAAATGAAAGAAATCTGAATCCATATAAACAACCATTTCTGGCTTTTGAATAATATCAAAATTTGTTCCATGAACTGTTATCATTCTTCCTCCTGACAGAAAACTAATCAAAGGTTTAATTTCGGCAATTGTAGGATCATTTTTATATGTAAATGGTTTTGTTAAAGATCTGTTAGAACCATCAATGATCAAATGCATAGCATTTATGGTTTGGGGTTTTGTCGCTGCTGATGTAATACAAGTAAGTCTTGTACTAGAAGCATGGGTTGTATTTACTTTACATGGGAAATTATCAAGAAATGCAATCACTGAACTTCCAATGTTCAAATTATGTCCGTTAATTGCTAAAATTGTACCTCCACTCTGAGGTCCAACCACAGGAGTTACTTTATCCAGCTTAACATTCTATAAATAATATTTTGATTTTTTAAAATATTTACAATTTAAAATAAATAAATATTGTAATTTATTAAAAATACTATTATACCTTGTAGCTAAAATGTACTGAAGATTCTGTTTTCCCTGCATTATTGCCAACCACAATAGAAGATACTTTTTCAGTAAAGGATGGTCCAGTTTTACAAACTATTTTGACAGATATTTCATAATCAACTAAATGACATAAGATATCCCCAATGTGGATTTTATCCCGGACATCTGTTTCATTAAGACCCAAGTTACTTCCTTCTATTGTTACAAGAGTACCGCCCTCAATAGGTCCACTAAGAGGTTTTATCTAGAAATAAATTTAAGAATGTACACAAATGTATGAAAATTATTAGTTTATATTTTTTTTTACCATATCTATTCTAGGTTTTGGACATTCATAGCTAGATCTTTCTAAACATGTTTCTGAGTATACACAAGCACTCATTTTATTTGTATTACACCAAGTACAGTTATAAATACGATTTCGTGTAACACATAAAGAACAATCAGGATGTTCTCTATGAGATCCAAGAATATCACATTTATATAATGTTACATTAATTGTATCAACTTGATGGTTTCTATTCCAAACCATGCTAACTATTGCATCATATTCTCCAGAATTAGCTTCGTATGAATACTAAATTAAATAATACAAATATAATTAATAATAAATTATAGTTAACAAACATTTATTTTTAAAAAGTTTTTAATTAATAAATTAATTAATATTTTAGTTAAAAGGCAAAAAATTACAGTTGTCTTATCACAGACGATGTGTTTTTCTTCCACTCTAGCTGGAACCATAAGCTTTGCCCCTTCAATACTAATTATGCATTGAAAACCTGTATGTCCAACTTGAGGGGTGGGTAAATTTTCAACTTGTAATACTATATCTTTAGGCACCCCATTAGGCAGTAATATTTTTTGAGCTGGCTGAACAAACCGTGGGCAAAATGATGCACCGTGACTCTTAAGGCGAGAAGGGTTCTAGAGTATATGAATGTTAATCAAATGACATAAAAAAAATTTAACATGAATGAACTTACATTTTCACCACTGATAATTATAGGTTGACACATAGAAATATTATTTGTACATTTATTTTCATAAACACACCAATTACAAGCCCATTGAGATTTCACACATTCTAAACAGCGGGTATGGGCATTGCAATCAAAATAAGCAAAACTACGGCTTACAAAATCTTTATTAGTTTCAGAAGATCTGACTGACAGAGAAACATATATATGATCTTGGTCTTTGGGAATATTCGGACGTGACTCAATCTTAGGTGTTAAGCATTGTAGTCCGAATGGAGTTACAATAGCATCCAATGGATCACTTCCAAAAACACATCGGTATTTTGCCCCTGCAGGTAATTCTGGTAATGTTTTGATCATAAGATGTAACTAAAAATAAATTAATAATTATTTAGCCTACTAATAACAATATAAATGTAATATACAATATAATAATTTATTGTTTTATTATATAATTACTTTTGCCATTTGGTGTATTGCAATTCGATCTGGATTTATTTGTTCAAAATCAATACACTGTTGACCAGTACCAAGTGATAACCATCGTGGTGAACTATGAATGGCTTTTTGACAAGCAGTTCTTATAGTACATCTAAGATTCAGAATAAAAATAATTTATCATTTGTAATTATAAATATTTTAAACAAATTAATTTGGAAAATTATTTAATAACTGTACTAAATTATGACTATAATAAAAAAAAACCTATACTTAAAAATTTATATTTATATATACTTTTTAAGAAAAAATAATTACATTAATAAAAATGAATAGTGAACCAATGTTCATTCAATGTTATTAATAAATTGTAATAAACAAAATTTAAAATTCTGAACAGTGGAATTTAAAAGTTAATAATAACAATAATTTGCTTCAATAAATGTTTTAAAATTGATCACTTTACCTTCGTTCAAGAGAACACCAACCACAATATGGATCATTTGCTTCTAAACATGCAGAACAATTAGTAAAACTGTTGCAATGTTCTACTCTCACTTTTAATACCTATTAAAAAACAAATATAAATAAACAAATAAAATACTATTTTGAGACATTTGTATATAAACTTACATTAGACTGGGTTAATACATATAAATGTTCCCCGGTAGTAGTTAATGAAGTATCGGGTAATATAGAGTATCCATTATCTAATATCAATTCTTCATAATTTATTCCATAAGTAGCAGAAGATAAAAGCACCTTTAAACAAAAATATCAAAGTATAATAAACCTATACAAATCAAATATTTATTTATTCAGCCCCTGTTCCCATATTTAATGTATACCTTTTTAAGTATTCCTGTCGAAGTTCCTAAGAAAAGTATGGTATTTTTTTCTGTCGTTGCTAGTGTAACTGATGTAATATGATGATTTGGAAATTGTATAGCAGCTTGCTTACTAATTGGTTGAGTTCCAGATATTCTTAATCCAACTTCACAAAAATTAAGTATATTTCCAGTAGACTAAAAATATAATAATAAATAGGTACATACAATTATAGATATCATTAATATTAATTCTTAATTTATGAATGAACTTACTCCTGCAGCAGGACAATTCCCTTGTAATATTGGACCAGAAATGTAAGCCATGTTGCGGTATTTAATTGTACCATTAAAACACATATGAATATTTTCATTGAATTTTGATTCAATATATTGCATACTAAATACACATACAGCAGATTGAAACTTTGGTTCGTTGGTTATGCCTTGACTTGGCGAAAATGAACCTACTAAAACTTGATCGTTGGTACTAATTCCAAGGCTTATAGCCAAATCTTCACCTGGATTACTAAGCTTCAAGTCTTGGGCCAGATTATAATTTATCAATTTGTCACTATCTAATGTATCATTAACCAAACATTGTAACGTAACTTCAGTATAACTATCATAATTAGCATCTGCTATACAAACTCGAGCTAATCTAGTTACATAGCCAGATTCTTCTTGGCCTGGCAAATATGAAAGTTTTTGAACCACAACAAAATATGCATAATCACTTGAATTAAAACCATATATATACTTAACAAGAAAATGATCTCGATAGTTATTATTAATATTGATAAACGATTGCTTAAATGAATTTTCTACTAAATCTAAATTATAAAGGTTGCGACTAGATATAGCTGGTACAGCATGTCTAAAATCTCCATTTTTCGTAAAAGTTGTTCCAACATATAATATATTTGAAAATCCCCAATGGTCGTTAGAATTATTTGGTCCAATAAATGCAAATGTTGAATCTTGTTTTGTATTGGCAGCGATACTAACAGGAAAAAACTGTGCTGGATATGACACATTTGATAATTTATACTTATTGCAAGCACCTTGTAATATAGAACCACATGCTATTAACATACGAGATTCTAAATCAATGATCAAAATTTTATTGTAATTGTCAGTGAGAGATGTTTGAACAGATGGAATAGAAGAACAGCCACTTGATGGGCATTGAGGGCTATCAGCCAATGGCCCAGTTTTCGTGCACGTTTCAACTGTTAAATTTAAACCTTCTAATTGAATAATTTTGTTTACTGCTCCAATGTATACCCGGCCACCAGAATTTTTGTCTACAGCCATATGGAGCAAATGATTTGAAAAACATTCTGAATGTATGTTATGTGGATATTTAGCTACAACTGACATTGCTGAACTACATTTCAATGTTATGGTTATTAGAAATAACATGAACATAAAACATAGTTTGGAATTCCGCATCACCAGATTTCCTAAGAAATAATTATAGTACAAATTAGTTTAATAAGTAGATAACTAAGCAATAGACATTATTTGAATATTATTATGTGATAAAAAGTTGTCTTAAATAAAATATATATTTGAATCATTATGAAATAATAAAATAATAAAGTAAAAACAAAATTATTAGAATGGTTAATACTCATAACTAAATAGTTTAAAATAATATTAAATGAAAAAATGAATATATAAAAATAGATAAATAAATGAATGTGTCATCTAGAGTATTATGATAAGTGTATTATACTGGTTTCGAATTAAAAATTGATTAGGTATATCAGTCAAAATGTAAAACACACACGAATGAAAATATTAAATGCATTTTGAAACTGGGTGTATAATACACTTATTATAATACTCCATTTATTTATTTATTTTTTATTTTTATTTATATATTTATTTACTATATTATGAAATAAACTAAACACAGTCAATGATATTACTTTACAGACAAATTATACAAAATGATTATAAAAACAAAGTACCTAATATGTACTTTACTTGTTAAGTATGTAAAGTACCTTACTATTAATTATCAATAACTTACCCACAGACCACAGTAATAAATTTCCAATCCATTTAAATGATATCGGCATTTTCAAAAAATCAACAACATAAGTTTTGTGTTTGTCAACATTTTTCTAAATGGAGGGCATCATTTTACTTCTTTATACACATTTTGTATTTCTTGTAACTAGAACACAAGAAATGTACACAATGAATTAGATAAGTAATAATAGTAAATGTTGTGTTTACTTTAAAATCAATTTAAGTTAATTTATGTAATCAAATAAAAAAGGATGAACATACTATGCATGATGGGTGAACCACTATTATAGGTGAGAATTTGTAAAGGTAGGATATAGAGGGGAATTTAATGTATATCTTTACACAATGGTTAAATATTGATTTAAAAATATCTATTCTGAGCGAAGTTCAGTTATACATGTTTTGAAAGTCTGTAATTTTCTTCAAAAGTTGATATTAAAATTCTTATAAAAAAATAAAACATTACAAATTTTCTTTTTTGTGACACAAAATGTGACTTATAATGAACCCACCCCATGTTTAATTTTTAAGCATTTCTGTTTGGTCAAACAATTTTATCAAACTTTTAAAAGTCTTTAAAGATATTTTTATTAACTGGATTATACTAAAAAACAAAATTGAAAATAATAAATTTAGTACATTTTCTTGTTTTTTCTCATTTATAATTAAAATACTTTTAAACATCAAAAACTAACTTCCCTAAAGTACCCCTCAGATAAAATTTTCTTTCTAAAAAGGTGCTACAAAAACAAATAAAAACATAAAACAGATGAGAATAAATTGTGTGTTTCTGAAAGGAAAATATTTGGACCAAAAAGAATGAAGAAGGTGAATTTGAAGTTAGGACAAATGAGACTTATGAAGATTATTAAGAGGAGCCAATATTATAGGAATCATGAAGAGTAGTAAAATAAGATGAGTCGGTCATATTTGGAGATCGGATGGAATAATAGGACACATAACAAAATGGAAACCAAGCACAAAATAGCCCAGAGGAAGACCCAGAAAAAAATATCCCTGAATATTAATAAAAATAGCAAACTATTTACTACTAATTAAGAAAAATACACAATGTTATTAATTAGGTACCTTAAGTTATATGTACGTTATTTTTTTTATTTATTTAAGATATATCTGAGAAGATACTTAGGTATAATTAGGAATAGATAGATATACAGTCAATATTTGATGTATTGAATGATAATTGTAATGCAATGAAAAAGTAAATCGGTTTTGGTCCCCTCAATATAACAAAGTTTTATTTGCCAAGGCTCTTGTGATAAAATGAAGTTTTACGATTTTGAAGCTTGATATTTATTAAGATTCGATACATGTTAGTGTAATAACTCAATAAAAAATACATAGCTAATATAAATAAAATTAGACTTTGTCTTTTTTTTTTTATTATTTAATTGTTATTACAAATTTTTTCCAACATACATACTTATCACAATACATTATCATTATTAAGATAAGATAAGATGTCGATAAATGTATAATGGTTCCACAAAAAATGTACAAAAATATGCTTTATATTACTGTTCATATGTATAATGATTCATTACATTTATAGTCATTACTAATGACTCATGTATTTTATATATATGTACCTAATACATAATGTAATTAAAATAATTACAATATCAAATGTAATTAACCTAGAGATTTGACACTAGAAATTATAATTCTTTTTCTTAGCAATTTTTTATAAAATTGAGAACTCGTAGAGAATAGCTTAAACGCAATGTGTCATTAAAATAATTCTATCAACATTATCTCCAATGCTTGTTTTTTAAAAAAATAATTTTTGAAAATGACATTGTAAAACTGTATGCCAAACCAAACATCGTAACCAAGTTGATTGTCACTTGTTTAAATAAATAAAATCTGGATAAACTAATAGTTTGATAGTTTCAATAATCATGTGCATTACTAACAAGAGCAACCCAAGGTCTACATTGGAGGGCCCACCGGAAAAATCTCGATTTCCCGATAGACCTATCTGCCTTTCAGATCATGATCAACTAAATAAAATATACATTTTAGTTGTACCCAATAATTATTGTAAAAATGCGTTTAAATTAAATAATTCATTAAAGTAAAATATATTGACAGTACAGTTTTCATCAAAAATTAATCAATATAACTGAGTTCTATATAATATGACAAAAGTGTCTGACAAGCAATTTGTTTTTTTCAGAAAAAAAAAGGTAGTATCACCCTAAAAGTTACAACAACATTTGTAAAAACTGGAAAATATATAACCATTTGGCACAAAGTTGGTTTAAAGAAAGTATTATGTACAAAATGTATTATTATCATACAATACTAAAATTATACAACATAGGTCTACAGAATAGATATTAGCAAAGGGTTAAAAATCTATTATGTACCGGAATGTGTACAAATTTGGTCTGCATAACATTTTTAGACAAGTTCACACTATAAATAACATCAAAATGATCATTGTTTAATGAACAAAGATTTGTATGTAATCACAATGTCCAATGTCAAACCTAACTTGATAAATTGAATAGATAAATAATATAAAATTATAGAATATAGGTAGATACTTAGGTAATGTTAAATTATAGAACAATTATATTATATAGTAAAAATAAATAGTAGTTAACTACCTGATAACCTACCTAATAAGAAATTAGATAAGAAATTATTATTGTTTCAAATAGATAAGTTGTTCAATGTTTAATATTTGTACAAAGGTAGGTGGTCCAAAAAAAATTTGACAATAAAACCTCCATATAACAATCACTGAATGGGCCGGAAATATTGACCGCTATTTAGAGGTAACCGTCTTTTGGAGGTTTCCTATAGAGGCATAACACTTGATGGGACCAAAAAAATGACTGTTACACAGAAGTGACAGAAGTTCTACTATACTAAAGTCACACAAAATGTTCTACTTTTCAAACTTTACATATCAAATCTAATAATTGAGTATCTAGATAAATAAATACAACGATTAGATCAGTTTTAATGTAGACCAGTTTTTTTGAACTCATTGTCGTTAAGTTGTTTTAAATAGGTAAATACCTATATAAAACATCACCTACCTGTGTGGATAATTATATTTGAATAATATCAATAGATTCGAATAATAACTGTTGTAGTAAATATTGTTCCTATAGCCGAGAGTTGTAATGATTTAGATATCGAAAAATCAATTGGTAACCGAACCGCGTTTATGTCCAAGTTTAAATACTTATATATATATATTTCTTACAATCTCGCATGCCTAAATCCCTAATGTACATCGTTACTGGCACAGTAGATGCGTGTATTTTATTTTTTATATAAATGAAATAGGTAGGTAAGTACTGAGAATTTGCTAGGGTCTGCTGTTGGGTTTACCAGTCAAATTTTTCGGGTAGGTACCCAAACTCGAGTTGTTTCTATTTATGACGCTATGACGGGATACAGATGAGCGCTACCAGATTCTCCCAGAAGGTCACGTCGTTTTACCATAAGGTACTACAACTGCACTAAAAACGAAATAAATACCTCGAGTCCGGTCATGGTTCCGGTGCGCAAAGCCGACGGCGTAGGTGACGTCTCTGGGGTTCGAACGGTTGCCGCGCCAATACGAACAAAACGGCGACCCGTACAGACGCGCGCGATCAAAGACGCTAGTGCTCGCGCCTAGGTACGGCTGAATTGCTTGGTACGCCGCACGTCAATCCCGATCGGTGCCGGCACGTCCTAACGATATTATCGGTTCCCGACTTAGGACGCGGCGTACTTGCGGATATCGCGACAACGACTGGCGGCTGCTTTGTACCGTGTACAGAGTGCGATCATACACGGAAACAATACGTTTTCCGGACCACTATGTTGTGTGCGGGCCAACAGGCGCTGTCTGTCGATAAAATTGTTAAGGGTTTGTATACCTATATTTTGTGTTATAATCATGAACTAAGATAATATGGACTGGCAACGACACGGCAGGCTGGACGTGGTAGCGGTACGGTCGTTTTTCGACGGAGAATACCTAAGTGGGAGGCATCCAAGAACCGCAACGATTTTAGTGGTGTTTTTCCGAACTATGCGGTATGCGCCGCAAGAATGCGGAATAAATGCGGCGTACGTGGGATAAAAACATCACAATTATTATCACTCTTCTATTGTTTTACCGCGTACGTGGTTACGCGATTTTCCAATTTTACATCATCGTGTCCTCAACTCGTCGTGCCGTTTCGTTTCGTGTGTTTTGAACACGACACGGTCCGTTTTGATTACACGAAATAATTTATTACCGGGTCGTTCTACCAACATTATCACTCACTATCACCATTTACCATTCACCACGTATTTTTCGTATCATTATTATATTATACCAATCATTTATGAATATTTATTATTTCGCCATCAGTATTTCACCGTCTCATCTATTTTATACATAATAAATATGAAATGGAATTGTGATAAATAATGAATATGAACTACGAGTTCAACAGTTTATTGAGGAAGTCTACCATTATTAGGTATTGATAGCATATATTATTTTGTTGGATTTAGAAGAAAGTTATAGTGCAAGATAAGTTTAATTTGTTTATTAGGTATTATTTATCTTCACAAACTTTATACTGGATTATAATTGATCAATTTAATTAATAAAACAATAATAATAACTAGTAGATATCAATAATAAATGGATTTGCGATCATAATAACTGATATGACGTTACCAGTTATAACCAGCAGTCAAAAGTCTGCGGTAGTCGCGGTAACGTGTTGGTAGACACGATCAAAATGTATCTACCATGATAATGTGAACCAATAACATACTAATCTATGATTAGAAGAGAATATTTCACACGACACGAGTTGAGGACTCCCCTTTATTACTTATTAAATTATAAATGTTATAATTCTACAAAAATTAGCACCTCAACCATTGAATTACCCCTTCCAGGAAAATTGCATCGAAAAAATTAGTTTCGTTGTCAGTGCGTGTTATCTTAGTTCATGGTTATAATAATTGTTTTACCAACAACTTTATACCAAACATATATTCAATTACGTTTTGTACAGACGTCAGTCGGTTTGCGAAATTTTAAAACATGTCGCGCCGCTTTTATCATCCCACGACATTCAGATATACGATAAAAAATTTTAATTTTACAACACTAAAATTAAATTGGAATTTTCATTGTTTAAAAAATAACAATGAAAGATTTAAATCCCATGGTACCTACCTAAATATAATAATGATATTTAATTTTATCAGTTTTTGTTATGTACCTACATGTTACACATTTTTTTTGTTATTACTGTTAATTAACATAAGTTATTTTTTTACCATTTTTAATAATGCATTTCTATATTATCTTAACTTAATAAGCTAAAAAATCAATTAACTTGCACAGTGTGAATTTAGTAGTCATATGTATATTAATATATGAACTACACTCTCCTTACTATTATCCGTTAATTTTCAGTACATCAATAATTGTCCTAACCCAAGCAATAGGTAACCAAGAAACCGACAGACTCAATGAACTTTAACATTGTGGTTTTTCTCCATAATACTATTATAGGTAGTACATTCCATATATCAGTATAATTATATATATATAATTTTTGTGTATCCCAATTTTGTAAATCTGTTTAATGTTTTGATAAAATAATGTACAATCAAATGCTCATGTACAATAAAAAAGGCGACGATATTTATTACATATTATACATACCAAATTAGATTTAGATATAATGATACGTGCAATTATATTAAGTATTATTTATTGTAATATAATTTTTATTTATACTTTTTATCTATTTAACATTATTATAATATTTAAAATGTATGTGATTTATCAATTACGGTAAAACTTCCACACAATGGTCACCGAAGTGACCGGAAATAATGAAACCGCTATTTATAGGCGACCGTTCTTTAGAGGTTTCCTATAAGGGCATTAAATTGACGGAAACAAAGAAAATACTGTTAAACAGAGGCGACTGTTAACGGAAATTTTACTGTATTAATTTTATTGAAATAAAATAAATAAGTATGTATGACTGATTAAACGACTGTTATTATAATGACTTGTTAAAATAATTTGATAATTATGGTAGCATTTAGGTAAATATACATATTTTTAGTTACCTTTGTGGGATAAATGAATTGTTATTGTTTAACTGTATTAAATAGGTACCTGCCTAGAGGTACCTAATCAATTTAAAAGACTTTTTTTCTTAATCGGCATACATTATATTATTAACATGGTCCTATAACAATATTATAATATAATAAACGTTAATAATTTTCGGAAATCAACGCGAATCCACCTTGTCAAAAATCGAAATTGTTATCTAAGGACAAAGTTAACATGTTAAATGCGCCGTGACATGTTTTAAAATTGCGCGGTCGGTTTCGACTTCCATCTTGGAACCGTCAACGCGGTGAGTTTCCAGACGCGTCTGTACCGGATGCTCCAACCGTGTATAAAAAATTTACATATGGGTATACAGAGGTTAATGATGTGTAGATCTTGTTAAAGAGAGCATTGTTGCAAAAATATTTATACAAAAAAAGGTACGCTTCGCTAGGGCACTATGGAACATGTTTATGATGCCTTAGTTTCGTTAGCAATATTATTGATAAGGAAAACCAGTGATTCCCAAAATGAGTGTGGATATTCCTATACAGGCATTAGATGGGTAATAAATAGGCACAAACGGACGAAGTGAATTGAAAGGCGCTAAAAAGGAAACTGAAGGTAATAGTGATGTATGACACAATAAAACGATCTAACACTTTGACGACCTAAGAAAAATAGAAGTAAATCCCGCGAACCACTTTTTATTTCACGCATAGGTAGCTAAAGAAGTGCTTTTTCAGAAAGTGTAATATAAAAACGGGTTCCGGCCTGGAATCTATTGAAAAAGAAACAGAAGATAGGTAGTATATAATAGTGACGTGCCGAGGTGTTCGATGAAATAGTTCCATTTTTAATCAAAAAAATAAATGTAAAAAATGATTTAATTTTTTTTAACTTTTTAAGGTAATCAAGTAAAAGTTGAAAAAGCAGATTGAGTTAGGAATTTCTACTTTTAAATCGACGAAAGATAAAAAAGGAGGTTTAATTAATCTAAAAATGAATGAAAATACCTATCTAAATTCGAAATTGTAAGTACCATAAATATCACTGATTTCAGAATCATTAATTTAGTTTAATTTAAAAAATTTAATTATTCATTAAAAACCAATATTACATTTTGATTAAATTAATTGAGAATTTATAATTATCATCAATAAAAAATATTCATTTTTGAAAATTATTTTCTTAAGATGTTCATGCTAAATCATTAGAGAATTGACTTCATAATAAAAATAATTAAGAAATAATTATTTTTTGAAGTGTCCTGAGCTTGCCCATCTGTTAAAAATTAGTATTTGTAATCATTTTTCTTTTTTTAATAATTTGTAAAATATTCACTTTATTTACTTAGAGAGATGAGCATACTAACTAAATCATGACCTAATCTTAGTAAACCAGATATTGTAGCGTTCCTTTGGGGTATCCGGAATTGGTTTATTTAATGGTGTCGTCATCCATTGTAGTCAAGAGTCTCCCAGAGTCTCCTAGTTAAAAAAGAAAAGTGAAACAAGAAGAAAAATACTTACTTCTGCCTGATATAATTTGAATTATCTAATTTCATGGAAATTGTGAACATTTATTAAAAATATTGGACATATTTAATGAATAACTAAGCCTGATTTTCCTCAATATCCTGCTGGTAAGATGAACTTACAAATAACCTTATAATTATTAATAACTAAAATATTATAAATTATTAATTACTGTTGATTAGAGATGTAAATTAAATAATATGTACAAATTATACTATACTGTGTAAAACCTCTTGTAGAAAATAATATAATACCACTTACATAAAAATAAAATTAGAATTAGAATTCATCATTGTAACTGGTCACTAGATAAAAATAATGTTAAAATATGTAAAAATAGAAGTATAAATGGCAAGAAAAATAATGTAAACATCAAAAATATAATACGAGTATAAAATAAACAGTGAAATTAGAATAAAAAATAATAATTCAGAATTTGATTGACCTAACCAACAAATTTTCGCCAGCATAATATACCTACTTTTACATTTCTAGGTATAATTATTATTATAGGTACCTATTTGAACGTTTTTGGATTTTCACTTTTAAACAATAATAAAATGTAATACCTACCTAATCAATATAACTTTGGCGTATACAAGCCATTTACCAGAATATTTAATAGGTATTTAATTACCTTGCATTTGATACTTATAGCTGATTTCCTAGGTGGTTTAAGATAAGGACACAATTCATCTATTAATAAATAGTAGAAGAGAAAACCTAGAGGATTAAATGATGTAGTGAGATAGAAAGCAACAGAGCAACAGAGACAGTTCTTACTTTGTACTGGACCTATAGAGTGCTAAAAGGAATTTTATTTAATGAATGTTTACATGTAGTCTTTGAAATTATTTTATCTCCTAATAATACTGAAAAGTTGGTAAATTTTAGTGAAAAAAAGTTCATACATTTGTTGAGAAATTTGAAGAAATATAAGGACCTCAATTTTCATTTCAAAATATCTATGAGTTAATCCATATAGTAGATGATTATAAGAAATTTGGCTCCTTAGAGAAATGCTCTAGTTTTCCATTTGAAAACTACATTAAGTTTAAAAAAAAATGGTAAGAAAACATGAGAAACTACAAGAGCAAGTAATAAAACCGTATTAAGAATTTTTAACCTTTTGTGAATGCAAATTAAACAACAATCTATTCAATGAAATAATATAGAAAAAAAAACATCTTAATGGACCTTTAATTGAACATTTTATTACCTCTCAGTTCCAAATAATTGTTAATAATGGTAAAAAAAATATAAAAAATCTGTTTGTTATATAGGTTTTGATAATGATAAAAACTTATGTATTTGTAAAGTTATAAATATTTGTAAAGATTCTATTAATGGTAGTAATGTATTTTTAGCAAAACAATTTAATAAAATTTGTTGTTACTTTAAAAAACTTATTAATAGCTTAAAGTTAAATATAGCATTAGTTGATGAATTATGTGAAGATTACATGACAAGTGATGTAGTGTTAACAGAATTTTCTAAGTAAATAATATTATTTGATAATGATAATAATAATGTAGCATACCCCATTTTACATACTCTTGATGTTGTTTAATTAGTTATATTACAATTATTAATTTTATGTATACATAAACCTATAAATAAATTGTTCTATTTATTTAATTTATTTACTTTTTATTATTATTAATTCTGAGTTGATAAAATACAACAGTAATTAATATCTAAATAATATGTATAGGTATCCTTATAAATTGTAATTTATGATATGATATTTATTGTTTAACAAACATTATTTATTGTTGTATTATTATAGTATTAGAATGGCAACTTATTCAGTAGTTCATTTTTATAGTGATAACTCTGTAGAACCTGTACCCAGTTTTTGTTCACAAAGAATGGTACTTGTGCATGGCCAAAAAACATAGCTTTGATTAAGAAATGTGTACGACTTAAAACTATTCCTAATGAAATTAAATTTGATTACAATGAAGCGGGAATTCTTAAAAAAAAAATATTGTTTAATAACAAATTTCCTAACTATTTAAGACTATTAAAATTTGATACCTTTTTATAATATAGAATCATTTGGAGAAGCTAATAATTTGACAAAAAAAGGGTATAATCAATGTGATCTGTGATATTGGTGAATTAAAATCTAAGAGAAAGTTTAAAGTAAAAAACCAATAACCATTCATATTCTGATTGTTCTGAGTATTCAGGTTATTATTTTTATTTGTTTACCCACAATTAAATAATATAATTGTATATTTTAATATATATGACTTGCCTATTACAATTATTATTTTATTTAGATACTGATGATGAAAAATGCAATAACAGTTATAAGTCTGATCATACATTAAAATATGCATGTTAGTCTCCTTCTCCAAAAAAGTTTAAAAGTAAGTTTTTACTTGTAATGTATTTTAATAAATAAATATCCATTGTATGTTAAATTTTAACATGTTATATATAAGAATAATTTTTTGAAAGTGCTGAAAAATCAAAAAAAACCATCCGTAGTTAAACTGCTACCTTATGATATTTCATCAAATTTAATCAAATTATCAAATTTAATTTAATAAATATAAAAATGTTAAGTCGTAATGTACTTGCTATACACTAATAATTATCACAAATTATTTATATCAATAGGGTAGATGTATTTTATATAATCATGTTCTGTTTTTATATTACCAATATTTAATTTAAAGTATGATAAAGTTGATAATAATGAAGATATCATTGAAATTCAAATAGAATCTTCTGGTGTTCATCCTGTTAAATATTATTTTTTTAACAATAAAGTTATTATTTTTGTTTAAATTTAAATTAAATTTTAATACATGAAAAAAGTTCAGAAGTATGTTTCAAGTCACCTAAACTATTAAACATATTTACAGAAGCTATTAATAATAGTATATCATTAGGTAAAGCTTGTAAAGCAGTTTGATATTTACTAATTACATATAGGCAAAGATTATTAATTTATCAATTATGAAATAAGACATGTCATAAATAATCAAAGAATTGGTTTTATTTAAATTTTTTTAAATAGTATGCCAACAAATGATTCTTCTATCAATAATATATGCTCATCATTAAATAATATTACTTGTTGTCCCTTACCCATCCATAATATGGCAGATACATTGGAAAATAATATTTTGGGATATAGTACATTTTGCATAAACTTAGTAAGAAACTAAACTAAATTTGATTTAGTTATTAAATGGTTGAAATATTGAGTTTTAATAAATTTTAATTGAATTTTTGTAACCAAATAAGTATAGTAATTGTAGCATTTACTAACCGAAGAAACAAGAAAAAAAAGTTCTGTGATAATAATATTATAGTACTATTCATAATAATATCATAATACTATTCATAAAAGTATTAAAAATATTAGCTATTATTGCTATACCTATACATATATGTATATATATATTTCTAAAAAAGCATCTAAGTTAAATTATTATCATGGATATTATAACATCGTCTTAATAATGTATGCTTATAATTTAAGGACTTGGAAGAACATGGCCAAGTTTCTTATACTTACTGTCTAGTATTTGTTTACTCAGTAATTATAGTATGGAGGATGAGTTGTATTTATTTCCATTTATTCCTTGGTTTTGAAATTTGAGAGTTTTTCCTTTACAAGGTATATAATATATATTACAATTATTTTAATATATTTACATATTTTTAGGTGATTGAACTATCTTATATTAGAGGAAAAAATGATAAATCGATGGTAAAAAGGCTTATGGCTAAGTTAAAGATGAGTTATTGAAAAACTTCTCTTATACAAGGAAAAAAGGAAAACAGAAGTTTTCAAATTTAGCAACCTGTTCAGTAAAATTTGGTAAGTTATATTATAACTATATACTATAATATATAACTATTGATATTATTGTATAGCAGGCAGTGGTGTGGGGAAAAGTTGTAAGCAATGGTCTTTCAAAATTTGTGAATGGGTATACCATGATGCTTAATTTAGTAAAATTTTGAAGACAATAGTGCAGATAATAGGATATGCTCAGACTATTACTATAATCATAATATTGATATTATTATTGGGTAGAATATAATAATAATAATATTTATTTATTTTTAAATTGGAAATAAAAATTCAATAATTTATAAATGAAAGTTTGTATTTATATAAATATAATTAATTTTAACTAAAATAAAATGTGTAATATATAGTCTTATTAAATCAAAATTTAAGTTAATTAATGGTTAAAATTTAATAAAATAACTATATATAATAATGTATATACAAAAAAATATTTTAATACAATTATTTGTAAATTTCTAAATATTTAAATGCCATGTTTTAATAGGTTATATAAATCCATTAGGAGAAATATGTATATCCTCTAAAAGTAATCTGCTCTTAACCAAAAATGAGTTAAGCATGCTACAGTTACTGTGTAGGTTTTGTTTAGTTACAATGTATGATGAATGTTATATGCTATATTTATTATTAAAGCTTTCTTATTTGATTTTTAGATACCATCAAAACTCAAGGAAATTTTAAACACAGTACTCAAAATAAAATAGAAAATATTATTAAGTATCTACTTGCTCAAGCTCCATTCAACTTGAAGAGGCAAATTGAAAAAAAACTAACCTTTATTTTTTATCATCCATCTTTTATTTAAAGTTGTATCTTTTTTATTTTTTTTTAATCCAAGTTTGAATATATTTTTTTTAAGAAATTTAAATATATTAAAAGTATAAAATAAATAATATATTTTATACAATGATACATATATTGAATACTATTTTTTTTCTTATTTAGATTGTTATTTATCTTATTTTTATTTTGAGCACATATACAGTACAGGTTTGTTTAAAAAAGTATGTATTATATATATTATAATTTAAAATACCTATTCATTAAATACTCATTTAATTTTTATATTATGTTGTACTTAATTGTTGATTATATAATATTAATTAATGAAAATAAAATATTTAATTATTATTAATTGCAGTTGTTTATTTTATATTTAATTAACATTTTTTTTTCTAGTATTCAGTGTACATTGAGTTTCGTGGTACATTTATTAACCATTACAAAATCATTAATAAGTATAAATTTATAAATATTAATACATATTAATTATTTAATATTTATTTTTGACTTTTATTAATAATTATACAAAAGGCCCAACCAATATTTATTAAGAATTATAAAACGTATACAAATTTATTATTGATGAAAATTTTACATTTATTTAATGTCAAATATTTTTTTGAAATCTTTATTTAAATTTATATAAATATATCATTGCTGTGTGGAATGCGCATTTCAGAGCAAGCAAAATACCTTAAGAAAATAAATATTTATGAAAAATATTAACATAAAAGTGAGGAAAACCTATTTAATTAAAAATTCTTATATTTGGAGCGTAGCATTGTATGGAAGTGAGACATAGACGATAGGTAAAACAAAATAAAAAAAAGACTGTTAGCGTTTGAGACATATAGTGTTACAGGAAGCTGTTTAGAATAAGTTAGACAGAACACATAAAAAATGAAGAAATTTATCGAAAAGCTGGAGAAACAAGAAGCTTTTTAAAAATCTTAAAACAAGAAGGGCCAATTTAATTGTCATACTTTACTACACCAGTCTACTTAGCAGAATAATATAAAGTACCATTGAGGGGAATAATAGCAGAGGATGACAGCCATTGGATTATATTAGTTAAATAGTAAGAGATATATCCCGCAGATTGTAATGTGAATTCAAAAGGAAAGCGAAGGAGCATCAGGAGCAGAAAATTGCTGCCAACCAGCCTTTGGGCTTAAGATCCTCATAATAATTACAATTCCCATGTCATATTATATACCTATCTAATAATTAATAGAAAAATATTTACTTTCAAAATTATTGTTTAATGGCATTAATTTATTTAGGGACTAGATAGTAGGTATCTACAATATTAAATATCTGATACCTACCTACATAATATTATATAATTATGTACCTATATCAAAACATCAAATTATGATGAAATAATAATAAAAGACACTATGAATGAAAAAGAAATATAATTTTATGATTGATTGTGTACACAATTTAAACTCTAATATAAAACTTCCATGAAAACACAGAGTTGAAAATTTGCAATATTTTTATTAAATTATTGTTTGGTATAGAAATATTTTTTTAAACACTACATTGATACTACTACATTACAACTTTTTTTTTAACAACTTATAATGAACCTCTTGTTAAATTTTCAAGCATTTCGGTTGGATCACCAAATAAGATGACCTACCAAATAAAAAATACGTACAAATTTGCAAAATTAAAATATCTTTAAATAGGTATCTTAAAATTTGATTAAATGTTTTTAAAATTTTACCACGCTTAGAAAATGCAAATATGAATGTTCTGTAAAATTTCAAGTCTATGAATATTTTTAATTGAATTACAACAAAAAAAAAACAACTAAAATTGAAAATTATGAAAGCATTATTTTTGTAAATTGTCCCAGTTTTATTTCGTTTTTACATGGTTTTGCTCGATTATTAAAAAAAACTATTGGGAAAATTCAAAAAACGACTTTCCTACACACCAACTAGGTTAAAAATGTAACAAAAAAGATCTTTAGCGTTTTTTTATTAGAGCAATATTTTTGGTAGAAAACATAAGCTATATAAATTTAAAACAAAGGAATCCTAAAATCTCTGCACTACCCTTAGGCTGGGATGCTGTGTTGCATAAACGTTTATTAGCGATTTACAAAGCCTTTAACTCACTACTAACCCGTTAAAAAAATTGGGTGTTGCTTGAACGTTTGTTAGCGTTAATGAGTCTGTAATTTCTTAGCTACTGGACCTGTACTTACAGGTCCAATTTTGTATCTGTAACTTTTATATTTTAGTTAATATTTGGTGATAATTATTATAGTTTCTGTATTTCTTTCTAAAATTATTCTATTTCCAGTTTCCGAATTATTACTATTGTATAACTTGGTTATTTCCTCCCAAGACTGTTTTTTTTTATGATATTAACAAAATCAGTCTAAAATACATATTAGTTTTTACTTTGCCTGGCATAATGTAATTTATAATTGAGTTAACCTGTCAAACAAATACCTTGATTTTTTCAATTATGTTCTTAAATGGAATTATCAATTTTTTGTCGTTCAGTTAGGTTCTTTTGCCTTACCCTTTTTGACGCCATCATCAAACATCAAACAAATACCTTGATTTGAATATTTATTTATATTTATTATAAATTATTGATACTCGATAATGTAATCAGTAATCATCATAATGAAATAAAATATGGTATACTTTATTTGTTAACCACTAACCACGGTTATCAATAAGCTAATACATTTTTTTATGCAACTCAGTTTTTTTTTTTACACGCCATTAATAGTCAGGCTTGGTTAGTTACAGGCTCGTTAGAAAAGTTACAGACTGACATTTATGCAATAATAATATGTCTTCCACCGTACCGATAATATAAAATATCGAAGGGTGCCGTGCACCGTGTTATCTAGACTGTAAGACGTTTAATAACAGTACTATTAACGTCATTAATAACTTTTATTGTATGCATTTCGAGCTTACACTAATTTACCATACTACAATTAAAATCACGGACTGAGATATATTATTATCTCAGATATTATATCTTTATCCGTGATTAAAAGTTAAAATTATTATTTTTTATGCAATCAATATAGTTCCTTAATAAATGAGTTTAAATTAGTATAAATCGATAGTTTGACTTTTTTTTTTTTTTGTTGCGAAAATATATGTGTTAGTAATTTTTCAACGTGAGCTTGTGGAAGTTATGCAAATTGAGTGATGATCCCTGTATCCGAAATTCCAAACACAGCCTTAGAACCACGGTTAGTTGTAAGTGGTGGCTTAAGAAAAGATTTTTTTTACAAACGTTCTTGGATTGCTTGGAACCAATAGTTCAAATTGTTGCCGTGAGACGGCGCGGTTCAAAAATCGATCTCCTTACGCAGTTAAATTTGCAGCTGCCCTACTTCATCTGTGGTTGTATTTTACGAGTGTACGACGCACCTGGTTGTATTATCTGCCATACTACCTACGATTTTTCTTTAGTCAAAGCTTTGTTCTTGCTAAAATGCACGCTGGGTAGCGTTTTTATTGCACTCGATTGCGCGTTACCCAGTTAAAATAATCGATATCTCACCGTATCGTTTGTTATTTTTATTGTAAAAACAAACATTTCTTTTCAACATGACTGTTTTACCGAAAAAAAAAGTCGAGGCCAAAGATGGAGAACCTTCAACGAGTACACACACAACTTCTCAAGCAAACTCTCAGGTACCTATCTACATAGACATCAGCTAACATTTTCAATATTTTAATTATACTTTTTGTAAATAATGAAATTCTGTATTATACCGGTCTTCTTTGTGTGTAATGTGGTACATTATTCATAGTGGGTACTATTTTGTATAGTTATATATTTTTTTAATACTACTCATACTATTTATTTCTTACCACTAGCACCATCCATCCACCCACCATCAAAAACATTTTTTAGGCGGTTCTAACTGTACCCCGAGTTCAGCACTACTGATTTATGTATACTATTATTCCATGTAAAATACATACCTATAATTAATTCAGATATTATATTGTAAGTTTTTAAATTCAGTTAAGTATATTATTCAACTGTGAAACACAATCATAATCCGGTCGTTCTCTGGATTTTTCTCTGGTCGGGAAAAATAACAAAAGATGTGTTAAGAAATCACTTATTCTAATATACCCTTATGAATTAATATTCATTCAAACTAATCTGTTTTCTAACCAATTAAATTTGAAAATTTGTTGGTAAATTGAAAAATCAAAAATTTGACCACATGTTTTTAACCTAACCAAACAATTACTTTCCTGTAAGAGCATAATATAAACATAAAATATTTGAAACTTTTTTAAATATTTTGATGAATGGTCTTAGGCTCAACGCCCAGTCGATCTTATTGTTCTATAACACATGTTCACTTTTTTTTTTTATTAAAAAGATAGTTTTGATTAAACATCTATTGTTATTTTAAATTTTTTAGTCGTTAAAGATATGGGTAGCTGTGTCGGCATTGTTTTGTACATTATGACCTTAAACAATACTAAGCATACAAAAATGTATTCCATTATCCAAGTTATTTATTAGGCATTACATTAGGTATTTAACGAGGTACTTGGTAATGAGTTTTGATTTAATATTTAACCATTATTTATATATATATATATATATAATATTTGTAATGATTTGTGTCCGGGTACCAAGTAAAAGCAGGCTAGAGGATTTTTTTATCCCTTACTTGGTACCTACAACTAATTTTATAAAAAATGTGTCTCTGGATAGAATTATGTGTGATTTCAATAATTATCATAGTATTTATGTCCATCATATGTGTCAAATAAGTTTTACTTCTTTTCTGTTAACTTAGAACTTAACTATACTTAATTTGTATTGACATTAATTAATTTATTATATAAAAGCTATTTAGCGTTAATTTTATAAATAATAAATTATTATTATTATTTAATATAATATTATTTATTTGAAACTAACAAAAACTGCATTGATCATCTTTTTCAGATCAACACATTGGACGAAATAATTAAGTCTGTAGAAAATAATGAAAAAGGTTTAAGTTCAAAACAGACCAAGCGCAACAGTCACCGTAGTCCTCATGGGTATTTATGGCACTTTCAATATATTTTCTTATTTGAAAAATCTAAGTATAAAAAAATATCATTTTTAAATATAGATAAAAATTCTCAAAATCAGAATTTCCGTACTTATATACCGCTGTTTTAAGAAAAAAAACCCATAAATCTAAAAAAAAAATTTTAAATTATATTGTATTGTGTTTAATATTAGCTTTACACATTTTCTCAGTATAACCTCATTTTTTTTTTATTTAAAGGGTTTTTTTTTAAGACAGCAGTATATATATATATTTTTTTAAATTTTATATACGAAATATACAATCTGTTCCTTGAGGAACAATAAGAATATGTGGTAAATGAAAAAAAATAAAAACATGAATGAATTGATGAGAGGAGTCACCCAGTGGTAACACTACCCTAATTTGATGGTTTTTTTTTTCTTTATTTATATTGCTTTATTTTAGATCAAACAGTGAGGAGGTCTCCACAAATTTCCTTTTAAGCCTTCTGGGAGGATTCCCAGGAATAGTGAGAGTGGCAAGGTTCGAAATGAGNTTGAGATGTAAGTGGGAGAATTTTTAATTAAGCGAAGGAATTTATTTTGGAAAGTTTGAATTTTATTAGTGTTGGATATTTTGGCATTGCCCCACAGTTGAAGACCATAGGTCCACATTGGCTTGAACCGGGATTTGTAAATTAAGAGTTTAGTATTTAATCGAGTATGTTTGCTGTTAGAGATTAGGGTTTTAAGGATGCGGAGTCGTGCATTTAAGGCAAGCCTTTTAGTTTTTATGTGATGTGACCAAGTGAGACCACGATCTATTGTCAGACCTAAGTATTTGGCCGTTTGAGAGGAAGGGATTTGAATATTGTCTAGAGACCATAGGACAGGGAGTAAGAAGAAGAGTAAATGTTGTATGGAGTGATTTGGATTGATTAACTTTGATACGCCATTTTTTATACTAATTAGCTATGAGGTCAAGGTGGAGTTGAAGATTGTAGGAAGCTGTGTGAGGATTATCATGGATAGAAATAATGGCCTTATCATCGGCAAACTCCGCAACAGCTGTATTCGGAGAAGCGGGTTGATCGGCAGCGTAGATGTTATATAATAGAGGAGAAAGAATGCCCCCCTGAGGAACGCCTACGCTAATCTTTGCTAAACCAGAAAGGGATGTGCCAACTCTGACCTGAAAATATCGATAAATATCGATCGAGGTAAGATTTGATCAGTAATTAAAAGGAAGGATGAACTATGGGTTTAATTTTATATATATATATATTTATAAATATTATATATTTCCCCTAAAAATGAAGTGAGGCTTAATGAATCACCCTGTATATTATATTAAAATTTTTAGTGTACCTAATAGGTTCTTCCACAAAATAGAACAATGTGTACAAATTATATATTATAATATGTTAAAAAGAAATTATATAAGGATTTACAAATTATTCAAAGGGACACCACACTCGTTTATTTTTTTGTGGTGTTCTTTTGAGTAACATGACTATAATTTTTTTATCTGTTATGTAATAATTTCAAAAATTTATAGAAATACCAAGAATAATAAAGGTCGCAATAAACAACTCAATAATAATTCAACATCAAGTAAGTGTGAATCATATGGCAATTGTAACACTGAAAATTGTGGATATAATAGTGAGGATGAATATGGCGGAATTTCAAAACCATTATCTGATGAAGAGTGGATTGAGGTAAATTATTATTTATTGCCTAGTCTTTAAAAATAATATATATATAAAAAAATTAAACTTGGAAAAAAAACTATGTCTTAATAAAATTAATAGCTCCTTTGCTACACTCTGAATCTAAAAAGAAAGAAAGTACATTGAGGGAGTATTGAGGCTATGAATATAGCTAATAATATTGCAAGGATATTTTAAACATTTTTCTATGTCTAGTATGGGCTATTATAAGTATTGTGTAAAAAGGACTTTCGAGTTTCATTAAAAGTTTATTGTATATTTGATATACAGTAAACTTGTATATTTATTATGTATTTAAATACTCTGGTATTATAAATACATAGTTTATTGAAGATAGTTTTAAAATTATAACAAAATATATTTAATTGTTTCAATTATAATTTTTTTTAAATTTAAATAAAAATATGTGTGTGAAACAAATATTTATCAAACTTTTTGTGGTCTATAGTTATTGAACTATAAATACTAAAAAATAATTTGTTGCCACTTTTAGATGGATTTATATGGATTAGTTCAAATTGTGTTGTTATTTAAAAATCTAACTAGTAGTTTATTATGTATTTGTATCGGTATACTATTTTTGACAATATTATTATTTTTATTTTTTTAGCAAGACTGTATATTTGAAAAACAATTAAATAAACATGGTCTGATTTTGAAGCGCATGAAAGATGATGGTGCATGTCTTTTTAGAGCTGTTTCAGACCAGTTATATGGAGACCAAGATATGCATGATGTTGTTCGTAAACAGTGCATGGATTATGTTGTAAGTGAAATTAAATTGTTGGAATAATATTAATTACTTATTGAAATTTTTTGTTAAAAAATAAACAATGCAGTTTTAAAAGTTAACTTTTTAACTGTTCATTTTTATTATTTTGAATTCTTTAAAGTATTATAATAATTAGTTTTAATTAGTAATTAATCAAATTCTCAAACATTTCTTCTCATTTTTTTTTTAACAAATATTAAATATTTAAACAATATAATTTGGTTAATATATATTAAAATACTTTTTAGGCTTGTAATAAAGATTATTATGTCCAGTATGTTACTGAAGATTTTAATTCATATATTGCTCGGAAAAGACAGGAGAGAACACATGGTAACCATGTTGAAATACATGCTATGTCTGAGTTGTATAATCGACCAGTTGAAGTTTATTGCTATGACATTGGTAAATTCCTCAAAATGTTTATTTAGTTTTTATTAATTGATAGAAAAGGACTAACTTATTGTTTGTTTTAAGAACCAATAAATATATGTAACAAAGCTCACATAGCTGATGATTCAAGTCCACCGATAAGATTAGCTTATCAAAAAGGCAGTCACTATAACAGTATTATTGATCCAAATAAGAATACAGTTGGTATTGGGTTGGGCTTACCAAATTATGCACCCGTTGTTGAGGAAAAAAAATTGTTAACTGAAACTGTTCGTCAAAGTGAGGACTACATGTTGGAACAGGTATAAAATATTTAGTTATATAAAATACATAGGCTGTCCCATGAAGATATACTTCTCGAATCTTGAATATCTCTGGAGATAATAAAGAAAATCAAGTTCTGAATTTTTTTTTTTTATATTATAGGGATAAGGACTACAAATATTTATTTTTGAGTTAAAAAAATTAATTTAATTATAAATATTTGTAGTTTTCATCCCTGTGAGTAATATAAAAACAACAGAATTTGATTATCATTATTATCTTTAGAAATATTCAAAGGGTTTATCTTCATGGGGTAGCCCGTATTATTATTATTTATCAGTATTGGGGGTTACAATACATTTTTGATTTAAATATTTTATAGTTTTAAGATAAAATATCAATTTTATGTTTTTAATTATTTTATTTTGTCTAGGCAATGTTGGATGATAAACTTAGAGCAACAGACTGGGAAGCTACCAATGATAGTATTGTGGAGCAAATAGCACGGGAAAGTTACTTACAGTTTTTAAAGGACAACGATAAACGAAACAAAGTAAATTTTATCATTTAAATAAAGTTTTAATAATAATTACCTACATATTGTTCATAACAGAAGGATATAGCTAAGTTTTCAACTTCAACTACAACTGAGCCTATTCACAAATTGGGTTCAACTCGAAACTCGCCTTCAAGATACTCAGTTGGACTTAAAACTCCCCCTGATTCACCTGATAGAGATATAGAAAATCCTTCATATATATCACCAACCCATCATTTAAGTAAATAACATTGGTTCTTATATAAATTTAGTTTAATTTGTTAATTAGTATTTTTACTTTACTCATTCAGGTATACCAGAATGGGATGATATTGATATTCTGACACAAGTACTAGCTACATCTCAAAGAGAATATCTAGACAATTTAAAAAAACAACACAAGAGTAAAGAAGAAAAGGAAAATGTCTGTTTAAATGATAAGGACAAACCATCTACATCTCAATAAATCCTAATGCTCTTAAAACTTCTTTTTTTCTAATAAAAAAAATAATGTGTTGAATATTGTATATTACAACAAATCTTGTGTACTTTTACTATAATTTATTTTAAAGTTTTTATAACTATACATTTTATACAAAATACTCTTAGTTGTTAAACTGTAATAACATTATTAACAATAATAATAATAATAATAATAATTAAATTATACATTTATTGCTACTGCTTTTATTTGATTGTTATGTACTTACAATGTTTTGTCGTATCTGTGGGTAGTAGATATATGAAATTTTGAATGTTGGATAAAAATATAGATTTATTAGATGAAAATAGCTAATAATTGTATAGGTGCTCAGTATAAACATACTTTAGACTTAATGTTTTATTTCTTTTATGATATCTATGTTCCTTTTGACTGAAAGAGTAAACAGGTTTATATAGTATGATACACGGGAACAATATCTTAATACACATAATATGAATTATCATCTTGTCAAAATATAGTCGTACTCGCACTTTGTCTCAAACTAGAATACACCGGTTGCCAACCAATTTTGTTAGTTTCCTCGCATCTGCTATATTAACCTGTCTGCTAGTGGTCACATAGTAGGAGGGGGGGAATTTAAATATTACTTGATGAATATTTAATGAAATTGGCTTAATACACTGTACATAGTTAAGCACACTTAATAAATACTTAGAATTTAAAAATCATTTGATAGTATGTAATTAATGGTAGTATTTTGGTAGTAAGAATTGCATTGTATAATTATTATTATTAATTATTAGGCACAAATCTATATGCACAATAAAAAAACTATTCAAACATAATGTGTTTACATTTTTAATAAATATATTTTTTTTAATAATTTGATAGGATACAAATATCACTATAGAATATAATTAATGGTCAGTAGTAAAAGTTGTGTTATATAATAATTATTATTTATTAGGGATTAATATACAAAATAAAACCAATGAAACGTGATGTGTTTAAACTATCAATAATATGCTTTAAAATGTTTAAAATATTCATTCAAAATTTTAAGTTTCTTAATATTTACAAACATGTTATTATTAAACAAATATCTTTGTTTCTCAAATAAATAAGTAATTCAACAATACAATATTTGAAGTACACAAAAATTAAAACTACACCTATAATTATTATATAAAATAATTTTTTTTTTCTGTTTACAAAGATTTGAAAGAATTTTTTTTCAAAAATGTAGGTACTGGTAATTTGTCTTTTTTGGAAAACTGACAATATGTAGAAATATAAACTACAAACATAAGTATTTAAATAATACAAATCAGTATAAGTTTTGTCCCCAATGATTATTGTTAGGTAGATAGATAGGAAAATAATAGTAAGTTTTAATAAACACCAAATATAAAAATTATATACAAAATTAAGCTTTATTAATCTGTGAACTAAACGTGTCTCGCCAATAGTCTGCTGATTTTTGTGGCAAAATCCTGCAACAAGAAGCATATTTTGAATAAATACACAGTGATTATTTTACTATGATTTAGTTCAAATTGACACCCTTAATCATTATACCTTAAATTAATAGGCTATAGCCAATAAGTACTTATTTTACAGTAGGTACCTATTAATCTATTACACTTATAATAGAAGTGTACACTTGGATAACTCCCTTTTCAACACAGTTTCGAATAGAAAATACAACTGATTTAAATTTTAAAATGTTATAGCTCCTTCAGCTATAACATTTTAAAATTTACAGGTGTAATGTGTTACATCATTTTTTTAGATTCAGATTTTTTTTTTTGTTAATGAAATTAGGCGCTGGAAAATCTAAATTCATTTTTTGAATCTGAAAACTCCTAGAACATTTTTGTCACACATAATCATAGTGTAGTTAACTAGTGGAAACTGGCAATCATGTTTTGTTATGCGTGCTATGATGTAATTGTTTTATGTTTCATTTTATTTATAATGAACATTAAATTAAGAACGTGCTACGCATAGTCCAATTAATAAACAAGAAAATTTAATATTGAAAGTAAGTACCAGAAGTAATTGTGTTTACCTATTTATGTAGGTAATCGTTTGAAAAGAATATTCCTATAGGTATATCAGTATTTCGAACTTTTAGATAATGGGTATTGCCTGTTATTATTAAAATAACATAAATCAAAATACAAATTATAATTATTTCTTACCAGACTACGTGCATAATAAATCTTAATAATTCTGGGACCGTTACGACCGCGTACTCTCTTTTGATGCCTCTTATTGCAGCGCTGGCAACTTGAGGTATAGACACTATTGGCATGGCGGACCTTTAGAACGAACAAAATAGATAATTCAAGGTAAAAATTCTAAATATAAAATAACTTATGGGCCGTGTATATGTATGTATAGGATGATTCATTGAGCGTGCATGATCCATTTTTTTGGTTAAATTTTGCGTATTACATGTATTCAAATTATGATTTTCGGAATTTTTAAGTGTAGGTAGTTGAAGCCGATATTTTCGAATACTTAGATTTTTCATAACATTTAAGGTGTATCCAGTGGCAAAACCAAATTACTAACTTTGTTTTTTTAAATGTGAACTTATTTTTAAATATATGGACCAATACTAGTATCACCACAGGTACTCCTTAAATGTTGTGAAAAATCTAAGTACTTGAAAATATCGGCTTTAACTACACTTAAAAATTCCAAAAATCAAAATCTGAATCATAAAAAAAAGACTGACATATTTTTCGCATGTGGGTGCAACCGCTGTTGTTGGTGAGAAGTTGGAATGGTATAGGATATAAAGGGAAAATTAATTTGAAATTGTATGCAACGATAAATCATTGCTTACTAAAAACGATTCTGAGTGGAGTTAAATTGATAGTGATGCTTTGTCCACAATATATATATACGTATATGATAAAATAATTAAATAACAGATATTGTACATTTTCTTTAATAATAATTGTTTATTATTTTACTGATTTTCCTGTTTTTCTACGTTTTTCCCGGTTTTCCATTTTTTTTCCCAGTTTTTCACATTTTTTGGGAAAATTGAAAATTGACCTCCCTATAGAACCGCTTCAGTCAGATTTCCTTTTAGAAAAAGTGGTATTATTATAAATCGGAGCAAAATTGCTGGTAGAAAAGTTGTGAACAGAAAAAAAAGTATTAATATTTATATAATAAAAAAATATATATTAATATTTAAAGTAAAAAATTAGTATTTTACTAATACATATACATCGTACACTTTCCTGTTTTTTTTTCACTTTTTCCGTTTTATTGGAAAAACTGCCGAGAAAATCAAAAAATTATTCCTTAAAGTACCATCCCAAGAAAATTTCTTTTCAGAAAAGTCTCTACATCGTATACCGTACTCGGAGTGAGTTTTCTGGTCGAAAAAGTGTTCACATTTAAAAAAAAAAGAAAAATGAAATAAACATCTTTGTAGAACTAATAGATTCTTCGCTACCTTCAGAATCTAAAATGGAGTGGGCATGTCTAATGAATCGCCCTGTATATCTTTATCCCCAGGGAAGAAGGGTTAAAATTAATGATAAAACATTAATTATTTTTGTTTTCAATTTTTAATATAGCAAATTCAATTTTGAAAACATATTCACTCATACATAAATTTGTACACGAATATATATTAAATGCATACCTACATAATTTTTTGTACTAGGTACATAAGTACACTTATGCAATTTAGACCAAAATTTCAATTGACAAAATTAAAATAAAAAAACTCAAAAAGGCTCTTCTAATTAGGAACCAAAGATATACATCGTGTCTGCTCCAGATGCAGCTAAAGCATTCGCAAAAAAAAAAAAAAAAAAAAAAAAAAACTGTTCACAATTATCCTATCACATGTAGTGAGTATCAAATTTCTATTTAGAAAGTCAAAAGTTAATTACGATTCAAACGGATTTCCGTACAATATAGGGTACAAAAATATTGTTTAAAATGCGTTTGTCATTAAACGTATAATTTAAGGTACGCTCACTTGACTTCCCAGTGTTTCACGTTTATCGGGGATGAGTCCAAAAAGAACGGATGGACGGTAGTAGTCTTTATGTTAGCGACGGACGGGTCGGATCTGAGCTCTTCTCTGAGACTGGCCATCAGACCTATATTTCAAATAATTAGTGATAAATAAATAGTTATGTATAAAAAAAAAAAAAAAAAAGTAATAGATCATTAAACGGAAACTGTATTCCTGTATCATAATGTTTTCGTTGGATAATTTACCTGTGACGCCGTATTTGGTGGCTGCGTAAGGGACAATATTAGCTGCACACGTGAATGCGGCTACAGAGGACGTGGCCACAATGTGGCCGTCATTGCGTTTCTTCATAGCCGGCAAAAATGCGCGTATCATCTGCATTATAAAAATCGATTAGGTTGTTTGGTTATAACTGTTATTAGTAATAAGTAATAATCTAACCTTAGACCTTAGTAATAACTTATAATTATAACTAATAACCTAATAATTTATTAGGTTACGTTTTTATGTAAACAAAATAAAATCGTTATTACGAATATGTGTATAGTGCTATAGTTCACTAAACAATTTTACGTGAACCTTATACCAAACTTTTAAGCACTTTTGAGAAGCTCAACAGCAAGGTTAATAGCTCAAAAGTCCGCAGAATGTTTGGAAATTATTGGTAGGCATCGCGTCTTATAAGTATATTTGGTAAAAATATCAGATCTTTACGATTTTTCAAAATTAAATAATAACAATAGCAAAACAAAAGACGGACATACTTCGCAAGTGGGACACTGTTGTAGATGAGAAGTTGGGAAGGTAGAAAGAAAATTTAATGTACTTATATCTGTACGCAACGATTAACCATTGTTAACGTAAAACGATTCTGAGTGAAGTTCTGTGAATAGCAACAGCTTTGTCAATAATCAATATATATGTCACATATTATTGTAAAATAATTACATAATGTGCATTATATATTTTCTTTGATATTATTTGTCTAATATTGTATCTATTTTTCCGTTTTTCACGGTTTTTCTCGATTTTTTGGAAAATTTAAAATGACCTTCCTAAAGTACCACACCAGTCAGATTTCCATCCAAAAAGTGCTATACTTGATACTTCGGTGTAAGATTTCTTGTAAAATTTCTTGTAAACAAAAATAAGAGCCTATTATTAGGTACGTCGTACGATAGTTTAACGTAATATTTCTACCACGGTAGAGTAGTGCGTCGACGTTGTTCCACATGTACTCCTGGTACCCAAAATCATTTTTCAGGCAACTCAGCTATCCTTTCCGACTCTTCATTTTGTTGCTCTTTACCACTCGTAGTCAAAACTAATTTGTGTAGTTTATGTTTTCTACAATAAATATATCTCTAATCGTTTTGGTATTTCGTGTTCTGTTATGGATTGAAAAAGACCGAGGAAAAACGTAAAAAGAACGATAAAGTTCGATAATATTTTGTTACCGCGTCAATTATCACATGTTGTGATCACGAGTATCGTTTTGTATTCAATGTCTATTCAAATGAACAAGTATTTTTTTTTATATTTTGTGACTTTTGTTCTTTGATTTACAAGTAAAATATTGAAAAAATGATCTAAAAAAAATAAATAATTTTTTATTATTTCAATACTGTTCTTGATTTTGTAATTATTTATTCAATTTGTTTTGCATATAAGTACATATTTTGTTGTAAAGTGAATTAATTGGTATAAAAACACTATTGCATATTTTATTTTTAGAGATTATTACAAGTATATGTATATTAAAATTTTTAATAAAATATAAATCCGCTTGTCATATAGACACTACCACCGCCGCCGGCCACACATCCCGGATTGCAGTACACCGAATGGTGCAAACGAAGTCGTACTACATGCACTCCTGGTACCTAAAATTATTTTTCGTAATTGTTCCTCATTTTGTTCGTTTGTTGTCCTTTCCTACTCTTCCCTTTTTTCATGTTCCTTGCCACTCGTAGTGAAAATTAATTTTTACGGAAATATATAGCTCTTATCAAAAACGTTAAGGATTTTTTTGTTGTATTTTGAATTTTGTTAGTTTTTTAATATCCCGTGCAGTTTTCGTAAAAATGGAGCAAGACTGAGAAAAAATGTAAAAAGAACGGGAAATCCCGCGAAACTAATTATTCTATTATTTTCATTTTGGATCATTGATTTACTACTGAGAAATTTGTTTTATTTTGTAAACATTTAAAATATTTTTCAGAAATTTTTGTTCTATAGGCATTTTACATTTATTGATGTTGCTACTGCTTCTCGTAGTCAAAACTAATTTGTATGGTTTATACATAATGTTATGTTTTAGATTCTGAGCAGAGCGAGGAATGTATTGGTTTTACAATGATATGTTTTTTTTTTCCGTGAACAACTTTTCTAAAAAAAATTTATTTCGGTCTGCTTTTCCTGAAATGAAATTTGACTGGGTTGGTACTGGGGTTTCAAACTTTCAACTTGTACGATGTAGGATAATTTTTTTCTTCTCTGAGGTACAATTCAGACAACTTGAGATTTCAGAAAAGTTGCTACACGTAAAAATCGGTGCAAGTTTATTTGAAAATAAAAACGTGTCCACAGACTAGAACAAAGAAAAAGAAAACAGTATTGTAAAACCAAAGCTCCCTTGGAATCTAAAAGGTCTGACATTGCTGATGCGTGACGTTGTTGTTGGTGGGAAGTTGTGAAGTTAGTGTTCATAAAATTAGGTTTTAGATTCCTAGCGTAGCGTGGGAGCTATTTATTTTACAATGCTGTTTATTTCTTTCACTCTTTCTTTTTTTTCTTCTAGTCTGTGGACAAGTTTTTTCTTAGTAAACTTTCTCCGATTAGGAATATTGATTAACCCAAGTTTTTAAATAAAATTGTAAGTATTATAAAAATAAATTTATGTTAGTCATTTTATAGTTCTAGAATATTGCATTTGATGAGTTAAATTGGTTTAAATTGGTTGGGGGGGAGAGTGAAACTCCAGTGAATCTTTTAGTAATTTTTATTTATGAAAAAAAAAAAAAAAAATGTTCAAGGCTCTTTTGACGTTTTTAAGCGCTTTTTTGTGGATTTTAAATGTCTCGAGTCCCGGATACATAATAAATATAGTGTAACATTTATAAATATTCATTCAATTGAAGGGCATTCGAATGCGTTCAGTTATTACACGAACGTTATATTGAGCTCCATCTACGTAGTGCCTAATTTACACTATTTGTTTTCATAGAAACGGATAGATAAGCAAAAAAAAAAAATCGAGTTGATACTAGTGATGGGACAACGGCCACTGTTGTAGGTGAGAAATTGGGAAAGTAGGATACATAAGGTTATTTCATTTATATCTGTAAGCAACGATAAACCATTGCTTGACGAAAGACAATTCCGAGTGCAGTTTAGTAATACATAATTTGAAGTGCCTTAATTTTTTTCGCTCAAAAGTTTTAGCGATGATACTGTAAGAAAGTAAATCGAAATGGCAATAAAAAAGGTATTTTGTAATTTTTCGATTAAATTATTTTTCCTGGTTGAAAACGTCGTCTGTGTTTTTATAAAATAATAAAATAGTTTTTTCCCACTTAAGTGCTTTTATTTATAAAATGGCGTCGAAATCATAGTAGCAAGTTTACTAGGAAAAAACGTGTCCATAGACTAGAACAGAGAAAAAAAAATGAACAGCATTGTAAAACCAATAGTTCCCTCGCTATGCATGGAATCTAAAATAACGGACATACTTGACACGTGGGTTGGATACCGTGGTAGGTGAGAAGTTGGGAAGGTAGAAGAGGGGAAATTCAATAGATATCTGTAAGCAACGATAAACCGTTGTTTACGAAAAAACGATTCTGGGCGGAGTTTATTTGATAGTGTTGCTTTGTCAACAATATATATATATGTCATATTATGATAAAATAATTACATATGCATTATGTATTTTTTGTTAATAATATTTGTTTAATATTGTACCGGACTTCTCTAAACAACTTGAGCTTTCGGAAAGAGTGCTTATGCATCGGAGCAAGTTTACTTATGAAAAAGCGCGTCCACAGACTAGAAGAAAAAATGGAAGAAAGAAATAAACAGCATTGTAAAACCAATAGCTCCCTCGTTACGCTCGGAATCTAAAAAAATAAACTCGCAGTTTTCAACTAAATACAACACTAAGCGAATTAACGAGAGTTTTACGTTAAACGAATCACCATGTAGTTCAGGTTAGGCATACGGTAATGTATAATATTATACGGAGTGATCAATCTATCATAAGGTAGTCATTATCTCGGAAACTGTTAACTTTTTCCGGAATTTATTTTCCAGAACATTTAAGAAACAAGCTGTTCTACAATTTTAAACGCGTGTTATTTTATGTCACCCTTATTTATAAGGGGCAAAACCACTATCTACCGTTGATTATCAACTGGCAAACGTATATTAAAAATTCCATAGATAAATGGAGTATTATTAAAATACATTTTATTGGTGACATTTTTGATTTCCGTCAATCCGTTGACGAGATATTTCACTTTTAATTTGCGGTTGGAGGAGAGTGACGCATTATCATTTGTGTGACGGTACGGCGCACGGCGTGTCAACATTAACCGCCATTGTGCCCCAACCCAAACTCAAAAGTGAAATATCTCGTCAACGGGTTGACAGAAATCGAAAGTGTCAACACCGAAATTTATTTCGACTAATAAATACTCCATCCATTTGTGGAACTTTTAATACAGCGTGCAATTCGAAAATCAAAAGTTGGTCGGTGTCTGTTGGGGTTTCGCTCCCGAAACGTAAGGGCCCGCAAAAAATTACTATTACGCGGACACCCGCGACGGCGTTATAATATTGTCGGGAAAAGGCGCGGGCGTGCGGTGTAAACGCGTTTAAATAGTAACAGGAAACTCCGTAATTAATCGTTTTATTTATTTTTTTTTTCCTATACTCCCCGTCTTCCCCGTAGTCGTGTCGTTTTTCATTGTTTTTTTTTTTTTAACTTTATACCGGCGCTCGTCGGGGAAAACGTTAATACGCACCGACGGCGCCGTTTTTTTTTCCCCGTCTTACGGCCCTCGCACCTGTATAATACCGCGCGCGCGCGCGCGCGCACAGGTGTAACGCACGCGGGTGTCGCCGTGCATATTGTGCGCGTTCGAAATTACGGCCGGCCGGGAGCCCGTATATTTACGTTACGCATACGGTTTTACGGGCGACGCCGTGACTCGCGTGTGCGGTTTCGCCGCGGAGGAGCGCGAGGAGCGGGCGTTTTCCCGAACGCGGCCGTTGGGATTTAAACACCGCGCAACAGCGTACACGGTGTATATCATAGCGGTTTTGTTTTCGCGGCGTAAATGTGTGTTGCGTACAATACAACCCGGTATCCGTTTCGCGGGCTCTTATTTCCGCCGTATTCCTGCGGGTACGTTTTTATTTATATTTATTTATTATTTTTTTTTTTTTTTTTTTTTTTTTCTTTCTATTTCTTCTCTTTTACGGCGGCCGCGGGACTCTCGGTACGGAAAACACCGCGGCGCCGAAAAATAGTTACGCCGCGCGTTCTCTGGACGTCACGCGTTCCGTTTTGGAAATGTAAATTTAATGTATCCCCGAGCAAGTATACATGTACGTATGCCTACCTACGTTTTTTTTTTTTTTTTTATTTATTCACCGCGTTCGACTACCTTTAATAATAATAACGCCCGCGCGCGCGCCCACACCAATCTAATATGGTCCCGCCGCAGACAAATATCCGCATTTTCATATTTCTAAACGTTCCCGCGTCTATTGTTTTGTAATAATATAGGAAACGAAGGACGGCGTGTAACGAAACGCTATGTATGCAACACGTATAAATATATATGCATTTTCGAGCGATTTCGAATATTGAAAAATCCGTCTGCTAAATCCGACAATGAATTTTGAAAAAGACTGCAAAAGTTCTTCGGTGATCGGGAAGTTCACGTTCGGAGCAGCCGTGACGAGGGAACCCGGACGAAAAGACGATTTCGTCCACCCGGCACGCCCGGGTCGTGTCACAGAGCTTTTGGGATACCTAACATTTAAGGGGAGTAGAGCGGAGGGCAGCGCGGGAGGCATGTCCGACAAACCTTGTTGCGGCCTTTTCCCCTGCCGTTTACACATTTGACACTGAACCACTCCCAACACGCAAGATCGCACATTGAGAACCAACGTCAAGGTTCGAAAGTGGACTTGTTCACCATACGGCTAATTGGACGGCTGAACCATGCAAGACCTCACGGATATTTAAACGACCGTCGGCAGGAGTGTATTTAGCCCATCTTCTAAGGGGGGGGGGGGAGGCGAAATTCGAACTTTAATCGTACTTATAAATTATTAGTTATAAAAGTTCATGCCTAAAAATGGCAGTGTTACAGATTATAAATAGATCGGCAGTTCAGAATTTTCGTTTCGCTTGCTTAAAACTTGAATAATAGATTTCTACCCACTTTGATAACTATTATTAGAAATCGAGGATAATAAAGCCTCGGGGAAAAATAACCCCGACGTAGGAAAAATAAGCCCAGACAAAGAAAAAAAAGCCCCAAGGAAAATATACAGTTATTGCCATCTTAAGAAAATGGCTTTAAAAGTATTGAAAAGAAGGTACGGAAAAAAATCCCATTGTAAATTAATATAATACATTTAAAAAAATCGCAAAAATAATTAGGTGGTTATTCAAAACCACGTTTTACGTGTATTATTGCTTATTGCCTACTTTTGTTGGAAATCTGTTTATCTATGTATATTTATTTAATTTTTCTAATAAATTGCTAGAAAAACCTTATAAAGAATAGTATAAAATAATCTGTTGTACAAAATATATTGTATATTTGGAATTGGCGTTTTTAAATAATATTTTTTAGTATATTATTTGTAGTTAATTTATTCATATCGGTTATTGTAAGAATATCTGATTGTAGTTTTTAGGTGATGAAGGCGATCGCCCCTATTGCCCCCCCCCATTGTATACGCCTCTTGTACACGCCCCTGACCGTCGAACAGCATATAAACTTGATATCGTAATGTAGTGAACACAAGGGAATAGTATAGAATTAACGTTCTGTGTATAACGTATTGTCACGATACCAAAAACCTAGATGCCGTTGAATAAAAACGAGTCTGGTTTTGTAGTCACCGCCAGATCGAGCTGCAGAATAAGCGGTCAACTTTTATGTTAGCTGTGTGTTCATCCTTAAAAAGACGTTCTAGGATAATGGGGACGGATGCAGCTACTGTTATATTATATGTAATGTACCTGTGAGCAACAATAAACAATTGCTTACGAAAAAACGATTCTGAGAGAAGTTCAGTTGATAGTGATGCTTTGTCAACAATATGTATGGCATATTGTAGTAAAATAATTAAACAGGCTTTATATATTTTCTTTAATAATATTTAAATGTTGTACCGATTTTCCTTGTTTTCCTATGTTTTTTCCCCAGTTTTTCACATTTGCTAGGAATACTGAGAAAATTGAAAAATTACCTCTCAAAAGTACCTCCCCAGTGAAATTTCCTTTTAGAAAAATTGTTATTACTATAAATTGGAGCAAAATTGCTAGTAGAAAAGTTGTCTACAGAAGAAAAAAATTGTAATATTTTACTAATATGTAAATAGTATACAGATATGATACTAATATTCGTACATTTTTCCGTTTTTTCTCAGTTTTCGATTTTTACATTTGATGAGGAAATTCTTGATGAAATCGAAAAATGATCTTCTTAAAGTACCTATCCACACCGATTTCCGTTCAGGAAAGGCGCTACACATAAAAATCGGAGCAAGATCTCTGATAGAGAAGTTGTACACAGAACGAAAAAAAATAAAAATAAACATCTCTGTAAAACCGTAAACTTCTTCGCTCCACTCAGAATCTAAACAATTTTACTCACTCGATTTCCATAGATAATAAAATAATGCTTAATTATCAACGCTGAATTTCTTAGGTTTTTGTTAAATCTGTTATCATTAGTCTGCGTTACCGGCACGATTAAAGGTAACATTATCTAACCGTCGTTTTCGGACAGCCAACAGCATTCCGTATTTTTAACGGTTTTATTATTCGTAATGCGTTCAATTAAAACAAGTAATACCTGTCTTCCTGAATCCAATATGACGTGCGCAATAAATATAAATCCGATAATTACTCAATCTCGTTGGAAATCGGACGTTGGCTCTAGGCAGACAATATAACCATACCGGTACACTCACCCAAAAGTGAGACACCAGGTTGACGTCGACCATGCGCCGGATCTGTTCGTCGGTGGCGTCCATTATCGGAGCGCTGGCCACGATCCCCGCGTTGTTGATCAGCACGTCCACCCGGCCCCATTTCTCTTCCACGGCCCTGGCCAGCTCGTTCGCCTCACTCGGTTCGGCCACGTTGGTCGTATAATAGTCGGCCACCGCGCCCTGGCCCGCCCAGCCGTCGTTGATCGCGTCCGCCGTCTCCTTGACGCCGTCCGCGTTTATGTCCACGCAAATTAATTTAGCGCCCTCTTTGGCCAGTTGCATGCTCATCTCCCGGCCCAGTCCCCGACCGGCTCCCGTTACCTGCAACGCGCCCGGATGTTACGTTATTTTAGAAACCGGACTTAATTGTTATAAATAGAGACCGGATTTAAATGCTCCTAGAATTCACAAAAAAAAGCACTTGTAAAACGTCAATAAGCGCACGACTTACAACACACGAGACTATGTTGTGTAGCTCTAATTGCGGGGCGAGTTATCCCTCAATGATCGGTCAGTCAATGAGCTGGTTTGCGAAAATTTGTATCGCATAAAAAAAAAAAAAAAAATATCATTTCGGGGTTAAAGAATATTTCGTACGATATGATACGGTGTTAATATAAAAATATGTATTGAAATTTCAAGAAACGTTGCATAGAATCAATGAAATTAATATATTTAATGAAAAAAAAAAAAATAGCTAATTTATCAAATTTTAACCACTGCAGAGCCTGTGCTTTGAAAAGACAAATAGTTCACCGTTCAACAATATTGCGAGTATATTATATTAGTCTTTAGAATTTTATGTTACAATTAAATTTCTCGTATAATACTTATTTAAAAAAAAAAAAATGATTTATGTATACATTTTTTGAAATAATTTATATTCTAAAATTGGCGGAAATTAAATATATCAACACTAAAATGTATTTTTTTTACTAAAACTTCATATATTTATTGAATAATTAATATAGATTGCTATTTAAAAATCAAAAATAGTTGGTGATTTCACAAATTTCAACAAATTTTAGCGTATGATTTTATTCCAAAAAACTACATAAATGTCACGAGAAAAAGAAATAAAATAAAAATAAGTATTTCATTGAAATTTTGACTGCAACATGAAATTCGGAAGACCCTGTACACATGTATACACGTAGTTTTTGAAATTTGTATATACTCACGAGTATGACGTTATTTTTCAGCGATTTTTCAACTGGATATATAGTTGTAAATATCAATTGGACAAACGTGTATACAGAATGAGCAATGCCCATTAATATTTTCGTGATTATCGATAAACATTCCAATAGATTCGAAGACGTACTTGCTTTTTCTGGAAATCAAATGAGTATAGATAAATAAAAAATACAAAATTCAAATCGAAACCGTTTCGGTTTATTACACATTATTCTACAAAATCGAAATAATGCGTCATGCGATTTAAATTAATGCTGTACAGGTATTGTTCTAACATCGGTAATATATATTAATTATAATAATTTCACCTTTTGATTGTTTCGTCGTGGTCGAGTATTACGAATTTCCGGAGACACCCGAGTTTAAATCTAGTCATTATAATACATCATACCTATCGGAATACGCAAAACGGCGCGAACTTGTGCGATAATAAAATGTCGTTTTTAACTTTTTGTTGTTCGCGGAGGATTCAACGTTATAACGCGCGGTTCTCGTATGCGATTGGATGTAAACACCAGTCGTATCAGTCGTACGCGTCCTATATATAAGACACGAAGGAGCCGAGTCGAGTGTATCTACACCGCGTCTATACCGAGGCTTATTTTTTTTTTAATATTTCGTATTACACACTTTTTAGTTTAGACCGTAAATCCACGGTCACAAAATAAAATTTGCATCCATACCTTTAAACACAGTTATTTCACTAATTTTTCTATCATTTATAGAGTAGTTTACAATAATTTTTTTTTAAACAAATATCTCCAGGTTTAAACTTTATCAAGGAGAAATGTATGGGTAATGTAAGAAGTAAATTTAAAAAAAAAAATATATTACATAATATCATCTAGTTTGTACTTTATTTATACATTATTCATTCAACATATTTGTTTAAATAACGTTCCTCTGGGTTTAATTCATTATTCGAAGTCGGCAAACTAATTCTAACAAGCATTGAGATAAAAAGTTTTAAAACATCATAATAATAAATAACAAATTTTAAACTACTGTGTATTTGATCAAATATCTTTGATATTCTTATTTTAAATTTGTTAAATAATAAACATAAAAATACTATAACAACAAAACACAGTTTAGAAATATTTTTTTGTAACACTCCCGTACGCGTTTTTGCGATTTCGTACTACACACAACTGTTTCGGTATTACACACAAAAATAGGCCCCGGCCTATACGCGTAGTTTTTTTTTTTTTACTAGAAAGTTACGGAAATGTCGCGAATGTCCGCGGGGGTAAAAGTTGATATTTTTCCGGACCGACTAAAATCTGGATATAGGGTGTTTTTGTTGCAGCGCGATACGACTGCGAGACAAAATAAAACTACGCGGCCGTATACGCAGAACGTCGTCGTCGTCGTCGTCGTCGTCGTGTCTACGTACGTAGCGCGTGTATGCATTGTACATAATATAGCGCGATGCGAATGCCCCGTTCAATGTAATGAATATATAATACACATATACATATTATATATTATACGTATGTACATTTTCCGATCGTCTCACGGGAGACATTTTTTATTCGCCCAAACGATATTGCGGAAAGAAAAAATTAGAATAGTGAATTTCGAACATTTTTGCACCAGAGCTATAATATCGTATTCGAACTATGCTCGTAAGTACGAATGTATGTATGTATATATATATATTGATACATTTGCAGGACAGGGACCGTTTCCGTTTGAAAATTAAAAGACCGAGTCCCGAGGGACGTGCCTCGAGGGGAACGAAACTGTATATATAAAGTGGACTATACGAGTGGTCTTAAACGAGTATATACACTTCCGTCTTATACGATTGGCGATCTATCTAACAGCTTTTGGACCCAATCCTCCGGGGTCCCGCAACCTTTTTCCAAAAAGGACCGCTTATATAGACATATATGTGTGTGTATATGCGTATATGTACATTATTATATACGTTTCGAAAATAAACGAAAATTAAATTTACTTTCACCGCTGAATTAATAATATAGGTATTGGTATCTACATTTAATAGGGATATAGGGTTACCTATAATATATTTTATACGTTTATCATAATTTAAGACGAATTTCAATAATAATAATACCTATTGTAATCTTATTCTGCTGCGTAATATACAGGTTTTGATTTGCGACTATTCGATCAATTTTTCATTGATATTAATATGCAAATATTACTTTTAGTTTGTAATGCAATTGTATATTATTAGGTACAGGTGTACCAGAGAAAACTACCTATGATTATTATGCAACAGGCTGTAGTTGATTATTATTATTATGGCTGATTGACTGTACACTTTTTTCTAACGAACTTTGAAAATCACGAATTTTATGAAAATAAAAAGTTGTTACATCGACATTTTCTGAAGAATAATATAAACTCTAAAATGTGGCGCTATAAAACGATGTTCCCGGTGAAGATTTATTCATCAATTCGGTGTTGAATGCAGTTGAATACATTTTATCAAACTATATCTGAACAAAATAAGGCGAATAAAGTAAAATAAACACATTTTAAAGAAATTGAAAAAAAAAATGTTGCGTGGTTTTTATACAAATTACTATAACAGATTTTTTTTTTAATACAATGCAAATTTAATTTTAAAATAATAAAATAACTTTTTTTATTTTATTTTTTTCTGTATGTATACAAGTCATTATTCAGTGATAAAAATATGACATATTGACTGTAATACTATATTATATTTGGTCATAATGACTAATTTTAACTAGTCCCTTGAATGCCTTTATACATAGTTTCTACTGTATTTATATTGTATTTCAACAAAACATTTCATTAAAAAAAAAAAAAAAACCAAATTTTTGAAAGACCTCGCGGTTATCCTGGTGGTATCTTCTGGGTAATACCAAGAGGCTGAAACACTACTACGCCGCAATTCTCGTCATTAATTGAAGACTAATACGATTGAGAATAATGTTTAAGGTTATACCTATACCTTATGTTTACGTTGTTGTTTCTATGCTTGACGGGTCTCGTAAAATAGGAAATGCGATATTATTTTAATGATCACGTTGAAAGTCGAGATACATCTACGATTACGTTAATTTGCAAGTTTATGGTAGGTATCTACTATCAACATCGGTTTTAAACTACATATACTCACATCGAGTTTTACGCAAGTAATGAATGAATAAAGGCTAGTAAAAGTTAATGAAGATAAGATAATTGCAGTGAGTCCATAGCGGGTCCATACAACTAATGTTTGTTTTTTTATAATTAAAAATTATATAGGTTATGGTCGATTATTAGGTTAAAAGAAATTATCAAAATCGTAATTTTACGATTTAAAACAACGCATGCAAACTACATAAACGAGTGTAGAAGACCATATAAGAAAAAGACTTTGCGCATTCGGAAGGTTAACTGGGGCAAATAATTGAACCGGTTACGTTATAAACTTAACAAAGTTGTTTACAGACAACCACACATCAAAGTAAAATCAATAGATTTAAAAAATAAATAGTGCAGTACCAAATAAAAACATCACGTATCGTGTTCCATGTAATTTCTTATTGAATTAACTTCAGTGGAATATTCATATAATATTATTATTATATCATATTTATAATTTGTACGAAATATTGATTATAAACAACTGTGTTTATAAACACAGTGTTTACTGACATTAATTAATTTATATTTATTTTGAAGAAAATTACGAACGTATTTTAAAACTTAACCCTTCGAATTTATCGAAAAAAATTGGTTTTATAAGTAAAAAAAAAACTATATATATATAAAAGGTGTAACAGAACAATTTGACATTTTTTACACTGTAGTTACACGTAAAAATGTCAAATAGTCCTGTTACATCCTGTATATTATAGTCATAAATTAATTCACGGAGAACGAAACTTTCAATATGTAATTAATTTTTGGAGAGCTTTATTCTCCATTTGCACCCGTATCTCAACTAATTTTTCAGACTTATTTAGCGTGCCATTACTATTTATTTCAATTGGAATGCATGGGACGGTACATATTTTTGAATTTCCATTAAAATTTGAAATTTAAATGCTTATAAAAAAAATTACTGCATTAAGCTTAACTTTTTTTTTACTACCAATTGCAACTTATGATAAACATTGTTTTAATTTTTCAAGCATTTTCGTTTGACCAGAAACCTAAATAAAAAATCGAATATTTCAAATGTCTATTAATAACGGAAAAATTTTGGTAATGTTTTGAAAATTGCACCATATGTCTCTAAAGAGCTGTGTATATATAAGTATTGGTTAAATGTCCGGCCCTTACGATTATTTTTTACTGATTTATAATTTAAAAAAAAAAAAAATCAAATATAACAGAAACCAGTTTTCTAGACTTTTTTATCATCTTTTCTCCGTTATTAAAAAAAAAAAACCGCTTAGAAAATCAAAAAATTACCTCCCTAAAGTACCACGCAAATAAAAGTTTTTTTCAAAAAGGTACACTTGAAAACCCAGAGCAAGATTTCAGATATAAAAGTTGTTCATAGCAAAAAAATAAATATCATTGTAAATCTAATACATTCCTCGCTACGCTCCGTATCTAAAACACACTTTATGGTATTATAGTAAATCTATAATAGAATTTAAAATAAATCTTAGCCTTCGGTAGTTCATGAAGCAGGATATTTTTCCCGTAAATTATTAATCATTGAATAATGTTCAAAAATGTTATGTTAAAAGATTTTTAAATATCCATTTCTTTTTTTTCTTTTTCTAATTTGAGCACTATCAAAATATTCTATCGTCCGTATATAGGCTTGAACATATTAAATTTATATCGACGAAATATTACGAATAATGCAATAAAAACAATTGGTTACCGTTCGACGGGGTTCCGTTGACGGGGCTTTGTCGTGGAGGCTCCATGTTACTGTCGTCTCGACGATGAGTGTCTATTTTTTGCCTGTTTCACCTTGTCACTGATGTGACTTTTCAACGAGTTTTTGTTATATTTAAAATTAAATATGTCCCGTGGTCGTTATTCGATGAGTGGATTGAAATGTTCTTGTTTAATAATGTTATGATTGCGATTGACGACTAGACTAGTTATGGAACGCACGTATTCGACGTTGCTTGTTCACCGGGCAAATCTGTCGAGGGGGAAAAAATGCTATGTACCTATATAGGATCAAGAAGGCCGAGGTTTTAACACGGTCGGCCTTTACAGACGATTTACGGTGTACAAGACCACCTTGACAATGTTATACAATAGCTGTTATGACGTTAGGTCTCGCTGTTGATAGATGCGCTTAATGACGCGACGTTGACATTACTTTTTTACTATATTATGACTAAACGCGTGTTGTACAAATCCGGTTTTCGTTTACGAGATAATTTTATTATCGGCACCTTTCAATAATAACAATTATACTGCCGTGATACGTGCGGTGACTTTTACTATCGTTACATTCGTTAAGATGACTTAAATCCGTGAATAAAATATTAATTCGGTAATTATTATATTATTGTCGACTTCATCATTGCGGGTTCGTGTTTCAATAACGCATAGGTATAATCGTAGTGGTAGGTAGGTAATTGAAATGAACGATGCGTGTAATTTTAGATAAAATATAAATTAATAGGCATATAGGTAACCGGCAATCGGCAATATTAATTTACCGTGGTGAATTATAACTTAACTGTTAAAATTATACATAGCCAATAGGTACGATAATAACAATACGTACTACTCCGAACAGTCGGGATGAAAGCGAAGGAAAAAAAGCGAAGAAGAAATAAATACATATTTGCCAAAAGAAGTATTTTGATTGCACATTCCTAATCAATTTTCATAAATCGTATTTATTATAGCTTTTAATATACTTATGGTGCAAGTTAACTTGTAAAAGATACGCTTTAAAAGTATTTTGATCACAAATACAGATAATATTTTTTTAAACGTATTAGAATACGTGTTTAAAATGAGTACCATAATTTTTTATAAAACAGTATGTTAATGTTGGTTTAATTTATCAGAGATTTATCGCTTGTTGGAATTTAATTCTACTATCTTATATTTATGGGATACTAACGAATGAGCCAAGAAAAATGTTGAAATTGGTAATTTTGACCATTTCCCCAGCCGATCAAGCTACTGAATTTTTTTATTAAAATCGTATAACACGTTTCGTCTTATATAATTATGTCTACTATATTTATATGTATAAAAACAAATCCTTATTTCCCTTGGTCATTGCATCCCGTGAGAACAGCTTGACCGATTTTGCTGATTTTTTTTTTGTTGTACTCATAATCGTCCGGACAAGGTTTTTGTGAAAGAAAATGTCTAAAGAGTCAATCGAATAAATAGAAAAAATTGCAAAAACTTATTAATGATATCTGGGATCTGAACTAGATACCGTTGCACTAACATTATAAACGTTTTTTCTCAGTTGTCTTTATTTACTCTATAGTAGATGTAGTTTTTGTATACTCTATGGGCAGAGCTATCGTCTAACCGACGTGCTTTATTGTCATTTTTTCATATTTTTGTATGTGGTGAATATGATAAATGTCGTTTAACAGCTGCATCGGTTGGCATCTATCAAAAAAGTTCATTTATTCACTTTTCAATACACAGTCTATTCAATCTGAACGTTAATACAGTTTTGAGTTTATTGAGTGAATTTTTTAAGAAGTTAATTTATATTAAAAGTTTAATTCAATATCGATTTTCGGTAAAAATTATAGAGGAGTTTATTAGTACCCTTATACTAATGACTCTAACTTAAAAATTTGATTTCCTAACACTATAAAATTGATTCGTAGAAAATAATTTTTTTAAAATAAATTGTACGTAGTATAAAAAAAAATTATTTCTTAATAATTATTTTTCCGGTGTTAGAAAATTGTATTTATAAATTTAATCCGTTAGAGGAGGGGAATATTCAACCCTTTTTATTATTTTTGCGGTTTTATACATTTACTTAAAAAATGTAGTAAAATTTAAGTAATTTTTTTCAAAGCTTTTTAATGTTTTCTAGTGCTTTTATGCGGATTTTATGAACATATAAATCCAGTCTCTAATTATGACAATCGAGTAATTAATTTTGTATTAATATAAATTGTCGGTAAATATGTACATAAAGGTATAAAAGAAACACCGTGCCATCTGCAAGTGACGACTATAAACAGGACACGCACTCTCCCGCTGCCGAGCGTCCCTATTCCCCGATAGGCTTTATTTCCTTTGAAATCTTTCCCCCAAAATTCAGTGTTTAGATATTTTTGGTATGAAAATTATGACAAAATGTCACAACAGAACACTTTTAGCCCGCCGAAGGTAATAACATACATATCTTTATAGTTATTGATATTTCAATTTAATCTCAGTAAATTGTATTATCACATCATTTTAATAATTAAGTAAGAGTTACCCATGAAAAATTTAATGCTTGTAAACTTTAATTGATTATCTGTGTAGTACACTTATGAAAATGTATATACATCGGCCAGTGATGGATTTTCAAAATTTTCTTGGAGGTTCTTAAAAATAATAATATCCATATTTGAACTTTTTAAGGTATGAGGGTTCTTAAACCTTCTGCCACCCCAGCGTAAATTCGTCACTACTATCGGATCATTTTAGATCCTGAGTTGAGTGAAGAAGCTTATGGTTTTACAATGATGTTTAATTTTTTTCCGTGGATAACTTTTCTACCAGAAATCTTGCTCCGACTTTTATGTGCAGCATTTTTCCGAAAGGAAATCGAACTGGGGAGATACTTTAAGAATATAATTTTTTGATTTTCCCAGGAGTTTTCCCAATAAATGAGAAAAACCAGAAAAAAACACGGAAAAACTGGGAAAATAGGTACAATATTAAACAAATATTATTAAAAAAAATATATAATTCATATGTAATTATTTTACCATAATATAACATATATATATATATATATATATATTGTTGACAAATGAACATTAACAAATGAACCCCGTTGAGAATCGTTTTTTCGCTAGCAATGGTTTATCGTTGCTTAGAGATTACATTAAATTTCCCCTTCACTACCTTCCCAACTTTTCACCTACAGCCTCTGCCCCACCCACGTGTCAAGTATATCCGTTATTTTTATTTTGTAATGTATGAATAGTATCAGTAGTACACGAGTAGTAGGTATACCGAACGACGTAAGATTGTAGAACTGTTCGACTTGGAAGTTTTACAATACCTTCACCAACAATGTAGCGGTTGGACCAAATTTACTACGGATGGGAGGTGAGGAGGCGTTAAATTATAAAATCTTCTAATATTTTTGTTAAAAATACAATTCGAATTTATCTTGAAAGTAATAAACGTTACTTTTGAACAAGTTTCGGGGGAGAAGGGATCGAAGCGCCTTTCTCACATATTGCCTTTCTCCCGTACGTAGAAATTCACCTTGTCAACCGGAAAAAAAAGAAAAAAAAGAAAAAAAAGAAAGAAAATCGTATTATTGAACTCTGGGGAACGGAAAAGATAAGAGTAAAATATACTATTATTGGTACGAATTGTTATTTATAAGAAAAAAATAATACGAGATCAAATCATAGATTTATTTTAGCCGATACACTCACTGTCGGTATAATACTGTAGGTATTATTACTATCGTTAATTGAAAACTACTGAAGGCTGTCACTGCACGTACATTGATCGCATGGAATTAGAAACAGTTCGCGGTAAAATATTTACTATACTATTATCACTGGTACAATTTTGTTTTCTCTATAACTAATACGGGTACGGGTATTTAAGGTAAATAATTAATTTTCTGTTTATGCGAACCCTACGGTTATTTGTTTTCTCCGGGGAGTAGGCGATATGTCTGCGTAACCGATAATACGACCAGACAGGCGGCCGGAAGCTTATACAAACGTTCATAGGTTCCCGTCTTCTTTACACGTTAGCGCAGACATTTGTAATCTGTACGAAACATTTATAAGGCTTATTAAACATGTAGGAATTCGTCATCAATTCAAGCTCAAACAAACAGTTATCGGGGCATAACAGTACAAAATTCTTCGCCCTGAAACCCAACTACATACTTGTATACACCTATAGGTCTATTAGTCGATTTCTTAAGTTCGATTTACTTGACGTTTACTTTACTAACACCGTTTGGTACTAAGTTTTACTTTCGGATTGATCGAGGGCCAAGTAAACGTTCCGTGAACACATGAACTGACTGAGCATCTGAGTTCGGAATTTCCTATACACAGTATATAACTGCGATACCAAGGTCTCAAAGTTCTTTCCGTCCCATGCATGTTGTTAGTATAATAATATACCGTGTTCTATATTACATAGTTCGCGTTGAAATAATAATTAGATCAGTCGGAAGATACCCACCTACCTACCCACAAAACCTTCTATACCTGTACGTACCTGTATTGTCCTTGGGGACCGTTAACCGTGTGTTTGGTGATATTCGTGGCGACCGGATATACCGCGTGCGAACCGAACATTTTGCCGTTATCAAGAGGTCGACGGAGGGATTCGTGGGGTAACCGAATAATATAAACTCACGAGCATTTGCACGCACGGAAGTAAATCTTGTGTTTAAATAATTCGATTAAACGGTTTGTGTGTCGAACGAAGAATAAGGACGGAAAAAAAAAAACACGCCCTGTGCAATAATTTCCCCTCGGGCATAGCGTGTCGAAGGTTACAATACTTATACAAATAGTAAACGGGAAACTCGTCCACCGGGACCGAATCGGCGCTCTACGATATTATACGGTCCGTCGTTATTATACTCCGCGTCGTATATTATTAACCGTCGCATCGTTGGCAAAACGAACGTGTACAATAATCGAGAATTATGTTGGTCGCTCCTCGATTCTTCTATGGGGTCGCAGGGTGATTGGCAGATAAAATTAATGTGCGAAGCTGAAAAATAATAATAATTAAATATCATTTGTATAATAAAAAAAACGTAAAATACAAACGGCAATAATTATACATACCATAAAAACATATTGTTTGTATTTTTTAGTTTAAAACCTAGCTACCTAGAAAGATTCTCCCAAAAGTTGGTTTTATTAATAGAGAATTAGGGTTTTGGGGACATGAGGAATTCATAGGATCGTACAGGTCC